CCTAACCTAACCTAACCTAACCCGAAACCTAACCTAACCCAAACCTAACCTTAGGGGTGTCGTGTAATTCACGAAAAACCGAAAACACTGAAAAAAAACGAGAAAACCGTCATTTTTCTGTTATGTATAAGACGTTAAGTATGTGTTTTTTTTTTCAATTTCTACAGCTCATAACAGGCGACTCTATGACAATACAAGGCGCGTTGGATAGGTGAGATCTTCAGCTTTCATATGGGTGGTCTATGATTTATTTACCTTTAGGGGTTGTCGAAAAAATCGTCGTTTCTCTGTTACGTATAATTTATAATTTCATCTTTTTTTATATTTACTTTTTTTCATAATGCATTATTTGTGACAATTTATGTTTTTTTGTGTTGCATTGTAACTAATTAATAAATATTATTATTGTAAATGTAATATTAGATAACATAAAAGTAATTTTGTCAAATACTACCTTTAAATTTAATAAATGTGGATGCCACAGCCATATACGTAACAAAATTTAAAATGTAGGCAGTGCATATTAAGTTTACTGTGGTAGTGCAGGTTCGTTTAGCGCCCTCTGTTGATGGTCCAGCATATGATTGGTTCTGTTCTGTAGCCAGTCTATGTCATGCTAGGAATAAAACAGTAAATAAACACATAGTATATAGTACAAACAAACGAAAAGAGCATATAAACAAGCAAAAAAATAAAAAATATAACCATATAATTGGTAAATAATAACAATTTTTTAGCTCAAGCTAAGTGAAGTGTGGCGCGGAGGAGGTAGAACAAGAAGAAGAAGTGACTAACAATAGAAATATGTACATATAGTTCTTTCTTTCTTTAATGGCGGTCTTTTCGAATGAATAAACCGTCGTGGTGGTGGTGTTTATTTGAGTTTAGTTGAACGTTATTGTTTACTATTGCTGCATAATCGGTTTCTGCATAATGAGCAAAATGAAAGAGGATGTCGATGATTATGAGTACTTCTTAAGGCTTCACCGAAATCAGCTGGTTGCATCGCAGGTGCCGGAGAAGTACTGGCGCACCGTTTTCAGCAAGACCAATGCACAGATATTGGACGCGGGCCTCGTCTTCACTCTGCTGCGCATCGACTATGATGATGATGATGATATTGGGGACGGACAGCGTAGACCGGTGTTTCAGGTGATGACGTCGGAGGGTATAAGGGCGGACGATCCAGCTCACATTTATCTCGTCGATCACGCCTGGACCTTCCGGCCGGAATTTGCCCGCAGACAGCTGCTGGCCGTGGACAAGTTGCGTGAGAGGATGGCCGCACTCATGGGGTTGCAGGACGATGACGATGGCGACGGCAGCAAGGAAACGCTCGTTCGCAGATTATACGCCGAACTGTGGCGGTACGCGAATTGCTACTCGATCGAGAATGCGGATAGCGTGGAGGAGAGGATGCCCGTGTGGTACGTAATGGATGAGCTCGGTTGCGGCATCGGCCACAGCGATGACGCCAACTTTCGCATGGTGCCGTTCATCTGCAGCAACAGCGTCGACGACGACGACGATGCCGGCGACGAACCGACGAAGTCTGCTGCTACAGCGTACAGCCTGCTGTTTCCTGTGCGAGACGTCGAATGTGGCGAGCAAGTAACCCGCGATTACGCAGAGGGGCTCGTCGGCGATGCAAGGGATGTCTGCCTCCTCCCGTGGGTTGCGAACGATACGTTCGTCGACAGGGACCATCAGCATCGGCAGCTCGATCCTGACTACTTTCTGGGTGGCCACGTGAAGGAAACGCTTCCGATGCTGTCGGAGAGAGCATCGCATGATGATGATGATGTCGTATCGTCTCGCAGGAAAGCACCGCACCGGGTGTACACCGAGTACGAGTACGTTGCCAAGTATTTGACGGATGAACGGTTCGAAATTGTCGGCAGCGTGGACGAGGCCGACATCCTCTGGATGACGACGCACTTCAAGCACTTCGAGGAGCTATCGTTGACGGCCCCATGGAAGTTCGTGAATCAATTCCCTTTCGAGTATGTGTTGACCATCAAGGACTTGCTGCCGGTGACGTGCCGCAGAATGGTGGGCGATCACATCGTCGAAGATTTGAGCGGCAGCCCCAGCTGGCTGCCCGTCACCTACAATCTGAAAGTTGAGATCGACCGCTTCGTCAGTTACTACAAGAAACGTGAGGCGGCCGGCCTCGATAACCACTGGATCATCAAGCCCTTCAATTTGGCGCGAGGTCTCGACACCCACATCACCGACGACCTCAACTTCATAATACGGTTGCGGTCGTCTGGCGCGAAGATCGTCCAGAAGTACATCGAGAGGCCGGTGCTGTTCGATCGGCAGCAGGACGTTGGCGGACGAGTAAAGTTCGACATAAGGTAGAATTAATTATAATACATTAGCAGTAATAGTAGTAGTAGTAGTTAAATGAATTGCATTTTTATGTAGGTACGTGGTGCTGTTGAAAAAATCGAGGAATCCGCTGGAGGCGTACGTGTACAGCAAGTTTTTCCTGCGTTTCGCCAACAGGCCTTTCGCTCTCGACAATTTGGACGTGTACGAGCAGCATTTCACCGTGATGAATTACACGGAGGGAGGCGCCCACCTGAAGCACATGCTCTGCGAGGAATTCAAGTTGGAATGGGCGAAGCAGTACCCGGAGCAGCCCTGGTCGGAAATCGAGAAACGAATCTTTGCTATGCTTCGCGAGGTTTTCGAGTGCGCGACGATGGAGCCTCCGCCGTGCGGCATCTCCGAGAGTCCGCAAAGCCGTGCTCTATATGCCGCCGACATCATGCTTGTGGATGTTCCATCCGAGAAGACTACGACGACTAGGTTGAGCAGTCATTTTCAGCCGCAACTACTCGAGATCAACTGGACGCCCGACTGCAAGCGCGCCTGCGAGTACTATCCGGACTTTTACAACGACATCTTTCGGCTGCTCTTCCTCGACATCGAAAACGAGGCGGTCCTTCGCAAACTCTAGCTCTCATTCATACTGATTGATTGATTGATTGATGATCGTGATCTAGTTCAATAACATATGATCGGTAGTTACGTTCCTTTATTATTACTACTGCTTTTAAGAGCGACCAGAACAACGACAACAAAAAAGACGTAACATTTATATGACTACAAACACTTGACCGATGTCGTCGTAATTGTACGTTCTCTTGAGTGACGCATCGACCAGCCGGATGCCGCTGATCGACTTCAAGCCCGGCTGTAACGGAATAGCCTTGAATTCCATGTCCATGTGCGAGTGCGGAGGAAGCGATTCCATCTTGCGTCCACTGATTCCGCACCAGGTCAAGCCTTCGCTCTCGTCCAGTGACACGACAAGATCAAGCGTCCTATCGCTGCGGAATTAGCAATATTCATTATCATCATCATCATTATCATCATATTGTATCGTATGTTAAGATTTAAATATATATATATACAATTAAAGTCTGACCAACCAGTTGTTTGTTAATTTACATCGAAAGGTAAAGGGCTCTTCGAGAACCACAAAGTTCGGCAGCTCGACGAGTGTCAGTCTAGCGTCTCCGTAATTCGGACCCTGGAAGAAAGCAAAAGTGCTACAAATACAACACGACACGACCGTGCGGTAAGGTGCGCATACCATTCTCTGCAGTTGACTCGTTTGCAGACGACCCCTCTCGCCCAAATTCGATCGCCAAACAATGTCGAGCTTACCGATATTGGTGGCGCCGCTGAGCATCTTTAGATCGGACGAGAGTTTCGGATCGGGAGTCAAACAGTAGAGGAACTGGCAGGTCGTGTTCGGCTGCAGGATGGTCGTCCTTCCGAAAACGCTCTCTTCGCCGCTGCTGCCCGGGACGAAATTCAACGAAGTCACTGAAACAGCAGCAAACTGTTAGCAGCAGCAGCCTCATCAGGCTATTGTTATGCGGACCGTTGAACAGGTTGGAGGCGTCCAGGGCGATCTTCTCCAGGCATATGGGGCCGGAGGTGATGTTCTGCACTTGGGCTTCCAAGTAAACGTCGTCGTTTTCGGCGTTGTAGAATTTTGTCTTCACGTCGAGCGGTTTCAACACCTGGATCTTAAAGAACTTCCTGAAGGACGTCTGCAGCCCCATCGTATTGTTGTAAGTGACCTCACACACAAGTCTGAGAACATAACAGGCAATTGCCTTTGCCCCCACATCATTTGCCTCGTAGAAAACATACCGCAACATGCATCATCATCATCATCGGATGGATGATCAGCAAAAGTGGCGGCAACAACAAAAAAACCAAACTCACATGTGCGTTCCGATTTCCTTGACCTCATGATGGATGACCACGTTGATGTTCTCATCGGAATTCATCTCTGCCAACGGCGGGTTACTGGATAACGGCAATCGCTGAGAACTTGTCTGAAGATCTACCTGAAATCGAAACGCTAAACTAAATTGATATATACAAAGAAATGAAGAACATTTCTCACTTTCAAGGAAATATTGTTAACTGGTTGGCCGCTCTCCGAGTAGACGCTTATAAGACTGGAGAATGTTTCACCCAGGTATATGTTGACGGGGCTCTGTGGGAGCAGCAAGAATTGGCCAGTTGCAAGTGTTTCGGCGCCCTGCACAGCATTGGCTTCCTTCTGCAGAGCTTCATTGAGGAGATTCCCAAGCAAATCTTTGCCATCACAGGTCACTGGGTTAGGACTTGACAAAGTTGGTCTCGTCAGTCTCATGACTGCAAAAGAAAAGAGAGAGAAATTACTTGTATGAATATGATTGGACAATAATATGATCAATGCATTTGCATTCAATATAATCATAATTTACTACCTTTGAGTGAAAGCAGATGTTCCTCCGAAGGTTGCATGTTTTGTTTCATATAAACTAATCGCGATTTAATCTCAAATTAATACCAATAACAATAAAATAATACAACAATATGTATCAACAATATTACCGAAGAACGCAAACACCAATAAACAATGACGTTTCGTTCGTCGTATGTCGTATAAGAACGTCACCGCAGCCGCCGATAGATGGATATCCATCGCTACATTTGTGTTCAACGAGTTGCATACTTATAAAGAGTACATTCAAAAATATTGGTGAACAGTTGGTGAAACAAGCAAGCAAGAGCAAGTGTACCTCATCCACAACCTTAAGAGAGTTCTTAAGAGGACTTGGAAAGGATAAAGCAGCCTACATGTTGGATGATGATTGATGATATCAGTACTGCTGCATTGTTCAACAGTTTCTTCCTTCTCTTCTTCTCATCTCGTAGCAATGAGTCGTCGTTTCAAAGAAGTTTCAACTTTGAAGGTTCGTTCACTCACATTCGCACACTTCTAAATGTTCAGAGGTATTCTTGTTCATTCCAGGGCAAAGTAGAATTCGTGGATTATGTTTCAAGTACGATACGTTTGGAGACGACCGAGATTGTGTGTTGGGCACTGTGCTATGAAAACGATGGAATATTCGTTCCGAATGTTGGGGACGTTATAACCATTATGAACCTTCATTTGGATACCCTTTCATATCCAAAAGAGTACTACATACATGCGGAAGGTGCGATTCTGCTGAGTCCAACGGCAGTCCGTCAACGCGATGGTGCACCTCCATCACCTACCTACATGCAAAGTGAGCTTTCCACATTGGTGCACCGACACAATCTCAAACTGGCACACCTGTGGAGCTATCACAAGCTGTATCCGAACATCAATTTAAAGGGAATATGTGTGGACAGAGTGGATGCAATCAAATTGTGTCTGCTCAGTAAATTGCTGGAGCATTGCGGGACTTTCAAGATCATTAAAGTTGTGACAGTGCAGGACCTGCAGTATGCGGCAATGGAAGGGAGTAATTACGAGTTTCAAAATTACATCAATTCCTTTAGATGCGGTGAGCTTAATGAATATCTGATAGGTCTTCTGAGGATCAATAAGAACGGTACCTATGAGCTGACGGATGGAGATCGCGTCTTGCCGTGCTTAATTGACTCGCCCGACGATGAACCCAAGAAGAAGTTTGATAATGAAATAGTCGTGATGATCAGGTATTTTGTGCTGGGCGAGGTTTACGTTCAACCACCTGCCCGCGTAACGTACGAGTATCTGCATGCCGCCCAGAGTGATATCGTGCAGCTGAAGCTCACCTCCTCGATGGAACCGAATCTGTTTCATTTTCTCTCGGCCACCGCACCGTCCAGATTCACGGACAAGATCACGTTCAAATTGAGGAACGTCAGCTTGGTAAGTGCCGGTGCTGGTCGAGTGTGTGCTACCTACGAATAAAAATAACTGAACATGAAGTCTGTTTGCTGTCTGTCCAGCCGATGAGCGATGAGGATAAATCGACCAATTTCTGGATGGAGATTGAGAAGGAGAACGGTGACGGCCTCCGCTGCTTGCTGTGCTTCGGTTGGGAGTACTCGATGACGTTGGCCTTGCTGCAGATCGGCAGTATTTACGATTTGTATTTGAAAGTGAAATTGTGAGCGACACGACACTTGGTGATCACTTTATACCCTCCTTTTTGTTGTTGTCGTCGTCATCGTTATCGTTGTCATTGTTATTACAGAAAACCGTATCACGATGTCGAGTTAAATCGTGTTTGCAAACAAAGTTTCAAGGTGTTCAGCTCTTCGGCGGTGTTCGTGAAGGTGCGAACCGACCGAATCACGTATCTGACCGTGGAGGAGGTTTGGCAGAGGTTAACCGATCTGAATTCGAACGGCGCTCATCGCAACAGCAAAATATATGTAAACTTTGAAGGAGTCATCGATTCGAAGCATTTCAATGGACGGCAATCGTCCAGAACGTATAGGAACATCGAAGGGCCGGATTTTGGAACACCCGGTAAAAATATGATGATGGTGTTACGATGGTGATAAGATTATAATTTGATTGCGTTCCAGGTGATATCAGCCATTCGCTGAAATTTGTAGTAGGCAAAGGAGGTGGTAGTTTCATATTGTATTTAAACAATTGGGAGCGCAAGCTGTACCAGCGCGGATTGGTCGCGAGGATGAGGGTGCGCGTGAGATGTGCGGAATTGACCAATCGCTACTTGCGAAGCAATGCAATGACGAGTTTCTCGCTTCTCGGATTGGTGGACGTGTCGGACGACATTAAAACGGCCAACCTGTAAGGCGGCAGGGGTTTAAGTAGTAGTAGTAGTAGTAGTAGTTGCACATTGTGAGCAAAAAAAAAATATAGATCGTTTCTTTCGGTTTTGCAGCAACGAAACGAATCCGAGGATAATTTACGGATCTCTCGCCAATCTGGGTCTCCAATGCAACGTCGTGATGAGGACGCGAGTGAAGGTGTTGAATACGCAAAGATGCATGATCGAGGTCAAACCCGACGGTTCGTTCAACTTCAGCTTGAGTCTGTTCGTGCTGGGTCCGAGCGAGGCGCTACTGCGTTCCACCAGCAAGGACTTGCTCCGGAGGTTGCTGAATTGCGGAAACAATGACGATGACGACAATCTGAACGAATGGAATGAGATGTTCGAGAGCTGCGGGCCGATCACCTTGCCGGACTTCAGCAAGGATAACTGCAGCAGCGGTGGCAACATCTGCAACATCGTAAGGAAGTCGTTGGTTTGGCGATTGAAGATGTTGAACTGGATGGACGTGATCTGTTCGTACGAAATCAAGTCTACGAATCTGCCCGTGTGGGATTTGCTTCAGCTCGTTGAATTTGATTAGGCCCGAAGAACGTATATGCAACCCACTGCGCACGATTTCTTCGTCTATTGACGGAAACGAGCGAAATGGAAGAAAGAAACCACGCCTCCGTTTCGCTTATTATTTTTTGTATTTGTTTGTTTTTATAAAGCAAATTTATTTATTAAAAGTAAGGAAAAATAAATGCAAGTTTATATAATATATATATATATATATGCGTGTGTGTGTGTGTGTGTATACGTATATATACATTACAATCGACGTACGTACGCACGCACACACATTCTTCGATCGTCGACTAATAAACGGAAACATTACTTTTTTTTCTTCTCTTTTGCGTACAGCAGACTCTAGGTGACATTGGCAGACGAAAGTGAATAACGAATATAATGGCATCACATGGGGACGGAGGAGGAGTTGGGCTATCTGTGATGTTGTTGATGATGATGATATTGCATAGTGAGTGTGAAGAGAGCGTAATTATTGAATGATGATCAATATAAGAATAGTAATAATAATAGTAGTAGTAGTAACAAGTAGCTTTCCTATCTAGATGAACATTTAATAAAAGCAATAATAATGATAATAATAAAAATACGTCCTTCTCTAGATAAAATATATCAAATAGTCTCCACATATACACTAACTAATATGCACCATTTCAATTCAATTATTATCATTTGTTTTTACATACATATACAAAAGCATGGCATGCTGTGTGTCCTATAATAATAATAACCTTTGACAAGATGCCACAAATTACTACAAGTGCACCAGTTTATTACCAGCAACAAACACAATTTACTTTCAAACTTTGAAAACTTCAGCTTTTACCAACAACCTATATATATATTTGTTTTTTGTTTGCACCCTTCTGCCTACCGAACGTCCCCAACCAATAAACCCACCCACCCACCATTCTTTTTAATATAGCAAACAACAATCAGTGTAGTCGATAACAGTATCCTCCTCCTTCTCTTCTGAACGGCAGCGAGTGTTGTTACATTATAGTTATTAATGCCCCAAATAAAATTGCCCACATTTTATAGATTTCATTTAAAATTTAATATCCATATGCGTAAAGAATAACAAGAGAAAAAATATATATATATGCATGCAACAGATAAAGAGAGAGAGAGAGAGAGAGTAAAATAAAGAAAGAGAAAGAGATTTGAAAAAAAAATGATACTAAAAGAAAATATAGCTATAATAATAATAATAATGATTCTGTAAATAACTAGTTAAAAATAATTTATATATATATATATATGCTTGTGTATATATGTATATATGTATGTATATATATATATACTTTTTTTTTTGTTTTAAATATAAGAGAATCGCAATTAGTACGTAAACATCGTGCATATAAATATATATATACATACATACATAGTGATATTTTCAAAATTAATAAATTTAATCAATTACCAAAATAAAACGCATTCTATTCCATGTAGCATATTAATGATTATTAATAGTTCTTCGCTCTTAAAATATATATATATATACATTTATATATGGTTATTTTGTTTTACTTCATTTTGATTAAAATTATAAATATATAATGTATATTCAGTTTAAAAAAAAACAACAACACATATCCAGTAAATAGATGTATATATATGTAGATATTACATACTATTGTAAATTGAGTCTTATTGGTTCTTTGGTTTGTGACTACTTTCTTCATCAATATTTTCTTTTCTATAAAAAAAAATCAATATATGTATGTATATTAAGTTCTAAAAATAATTCGATTTTCCAACCAATAAGGATCAATTTTTGCTTGGCGTACTGGCGTGGCTCAAAAGCCAACCGCACAAAAAAAAGACAAAGAGAGAGAGAGAATGAGAAAATGTATGTGGAGGAAACGGACGCGCACGAGAGATAGAGAAAGTCAGTTTCATAAGAATTGGGGAGAGTAAGAGATAAAACGAAATAAAATTAAAACGGGATATCGCGTGATATTGTTGGCGTTTACTACTTTGCAGCAGATTATTAATGTTAAAAATAAAGGATCATCATAGAAAAAAGCGCGTTGCTTTTCACACAATGTAATTTAGTGTAAAGTATGTGTGTATAATATATATGTATGTATATGTATGGTATGTTAGTGTTTAGGTGATGAGATGAGTGGGTTGATCGGGTTTTGTTGTTAATGTTATTGTTATTGTTGTTGGTGGTGGTGATGGTAGCCCGCGCGCGCTCACCGTCACCGCCTCCGACGACGATGACTTTGCAGCATGCGACTACTACTATTCATCATCGCTATCCTCCTCCTCCTCCTCCTCTTTCTTCTTCCTTTTCGTTTCCTCCTCCTCCTCCACCTCCTCCTTTTACTCCTCCCATTATTATTCCGAGCCGAGTCCGCCGAACGTCAATTTGAGGACTAGCATTGATTCACGTCCGGTGGCGTTGCTAAATACTCGTCGGCCCTTTTATGCTCGTTGAGCGCCTTCACGGTGTACTGGTCCTGGGGAAGCTCGGACTTGCGTCTCACCAGGGGCTTGGTCGGGTTGCGCACCTTGCGACTCGCCTACAAAAACCCATACTTTAACCCCCCAAACGAAAAGAGAAAGAGAGACAGAAGTGAGCGGACATAAATAAATATTTTTAAAATAGAAACAAAAAAATGTAAGTAGGATTGAAGAGAAGGGAAGAAGAAGAAGTGGGTAAAATAATTGATAGTTAATATGGTATGTAAATAGGTTAAGAAACAAGGAGAGACGGTTGGATGGGTCGAAGGGCGTGGGGGGTTTTCAGCTCGTTTAGTTCACGTTATGATAGCAAAATTGTAAAATTGTTTTTTTCTTTTCTTTGCATCTTGCAACTATGGCAGTACGCTGTTTACCTCGGAAGTGTCGTGGTCGATGGTCTCGATGTTGACGTCGCCATCGTCGTCGGGACTGTTGGCGGCGCTGCTGCTGCTGTTGTAATCGGTGTTTTGCTGCTTTTGCTGCTGAAGATGGAAAAGGTGCTGATGCTGCTGAGTCTGCTGATCCTGCTGCATCTGCTTAATGAGTCCTTCAAAGTCCGGATTCCTGGCTGCCAGACTCTCGACCTGCAGCCAAAGCTCGTCACGCTTGTGCTGCCTTTCCCGTTCCCTGGTGACAATCATTCACTGTTAGATTTCCATCAACGAATGTGTAGTGTAACACACACACACACACACACACACACATATATATACATACTTTTGCCTTTCCTGCTTGTACTGCTGCGAGCACTCGTCAAAGAGCTTCTGGTTCATCTCCATGAAAAGTTTGAGAGCGTTATAGATGAGACCGTGGATGGTCTTGTTCCAGTGGCTCTTGCTGTTACGATAGAGACTCGGGAACATGATGGGGATGATTTCGGCTGCGTTCTCCGACACCAGCGACATAACGTACTCGTTGTTCCAATAGTAGAGTGCACGCTCCGCAACCTGAAAGTGAGGCGAACTGACGCACTTGGAGAGTTGTCTGAACAGAGGCGACATGATCTTCTGGAATTCGGCCGGTTCGATGACGTCCAGTATTTCCTCGAGTTCGTTGAGGAACATCACTTCCTTCGGGCTGTGCGTCTTCGGCCAATACTTGAGTAGTCCATCGATGACGGGCTTCGTCAGGCTGGGGTCCTTCTCGAGGAATTGCACCACGCAGTATGCGAGCTGCGGATGATATACCGAAAGGGATTTGACCTTATGCAGCGGCATGAGGACGCGCAGAAGGAATATCTTGTGCTCCTCCTTGAGTGGAAGCGCGAATCCGTTGATGATCGAGCCGAGTATCTCGAGCAGCTCGGCGATGCCGTTATGGTGCTCCGTCTCGTAGATGAAACGATAGAACACGTTGTTGATCTGCTTGCGGATGAAGGCGCGCAGACCGAGGAACTTGCCGTAGATCCGGTGCAGCGTCGTTTTCAGAAGGTCGCGCTCGCGCGGGTCCTCCGAGTCGAACAGGTCGAGCAGATTCAGCACGAACTTTTGATCGATGAAACGCTTGGCGACAGTCGGCTGAAAGTCGGGCGCCTCCAGGACGCGCAAGAACAGATCGTAGACGAGTTGCAGATGCGGCCAGGCCGCCTCCAACGTCGGTTCGTCCTCCTCCGGATCGAATTCGGCTCCGTTCGGGTTCGAGGATGGCGGCAACGTGCGAAACAGGTTCGTCGCAAACTATACCAGCAGCAAATGAATAAAAATAATAACGCCGCAATTGTATATAACATACCATGTTGACCGCCTCCGGATAAATGGCGTCTGTGATGACTCCCTTCTGCTGTGACACGAATTCGACCATCTCGTGCAGCGCGGATCGCTTCACCTCCTTCCATTTCAGATCGGACAGCGGATCCGAGGCGAAATCGAACAGAACGCAGCATTGTCTCAGCTTCTCGATGAATAGCTCCTCCCTTTCAGCTGGAGCCGAATCTGAAGAGAAATGAGAACATTAACATCAGCATCGTCACATCGAAATAATCATCAAAGTAAAGAGGAATTTTCGATGATGTTGAAATATTGGCGCCAACTAATATCATCATTATCATCATCATCGTGAATCGTCATGCACGATCGACGGCAATTTTATGTGCATACAGTAAATAGATCATCGACAAAATCACCTTGCAGAAGCGGTAATCGTTCACGGTTTTGCAGGGAAACATCTATATTGTTGTTGGTGGTGCTAGTGCGCACTGCACATGCACCGACGACGAATTTGGTCGCCGACCGTCGACCACCATCGATGTCGGAGGAGGCGACCATCGTAGACACCGTCGTATTATTCCTTTGGAGAGCGTTGACGGTCGTCAGAAACGCGAACTTGTCGTCGAACGCGAAATCGGACCTGGGGGATGGACCGCTAACGCCGCCGACACCGCCGCCGCCGCCGCCGCCACCACCACCACCGTTTAGGTCGATGTATTTGTGATTGCCGGCAGAGTTGTTGTTGTCGATTAGGGCGGTGGCGAGCAGATCGAGTCCGCTGTGGAACGATGGAGACTTTGGGATTCCGAGGGGGGATTGGTCACCACCACCACCAACACCGCGACCCCCCATGACATGACCTTGCGCAAATGTCGAATGTACCATTTCGGGGGCCGCGCAACCGACCTTGAACTCACTTAAAGAGACGCCGCGCAAACGTCGCCGTCGTTGATGATGATGAAGATGCCACCGCCACCAATGTAGACTATGATGACGACGACGACGACGCAATACCACCTTCGCCGACCGAACGCAAAAAGTACACCAGCGTGGAATTATACAGGATCATTGTTAAGGTCAAGAAACGTAGAGACGCGTACAGAACCGAACAGGGAATGTCCCGAAGAAAATACACTAGAACCAGCTATTTTTTAATTATGTTGCAGATGCGACGGTGGCGTGGTCGTCTCGTCTCGTCTGCGAAACGTGTATCATTCGTTCGCAGCTCCAACACGATATATGGATTAAAATAGGGCGCCGACGACGACGACGTCGCGATGGACGCAAGCGCGAGGACGCGCACGCACACCGCACCCCCATCATTCTTACCTGCGAAGGGAGGATGTGGGATGCTAGCATGTGTCGTTGCTGCTGCTGCTGTCGACCGCTAAACACATGGTTATCGATGATAAGGCGTCGACGGGCAGAAATAAACTTCGATGAAAGTTTTCGAAAAAGGATGAACTTGAATGCCCTTGAATTTGTACGTACCTTTGAGACAGGGAAGTATTCCCAGTTCCCTGTTCTTGGTGATGTTGAAACGCGAACTGGAATTTCTTTTGTCCTTCTTGACCATCGGTCCTTGAACGGTGCCCGCCGTCAGCGACGTCTTGTTGAGCGGCGTCGTAGGAGGCGGCTGTGCGGCACCACCACCGCCGCTGACGCTATTTACATTGTTGTTCAATTTGTTGTTGGGCTGCAAGCAGAGAAGACAGAAGATATAATTTTGACGAGGGATTAGATAATAATAATAATTGTTACTATTACTATTTATGAACACAGACGGACGGCATTCAATTTACGCCACAACCGAAAGACAAACAACAAGAACAACAACAGCAATAAAGGAAAGTCGGGACGGCATAGCAGCAAATCATCGAGCATCATTTACCGATTCGGTGACGCTCCTCTTTCGCCTTCGAAATATCCCAGTGAAATCCATTTTTATTATGTTTGAAATATCATTAACGAAAATATTATGAAGAGAATGCGAATGGTGTGTGTGTGTGTGTGCAGAATGAAAGCGGTGTTGATGCAATGGAAAATGTAATATGCAATATTTGATGTGCGGCGCCGAATTTGTCGGAGTGTAAATATAAACTAAATAAAACTGTAATTTTCTAATGTCAGTCCCTCTTCTCCCGCTTCTTCTCGCTTTCCTTCTCACTATCTCTCTCTCTCATACACACACACAAACTCATTCTTCAGCTCTGTCGTGCCGTTGTCGAGTTGTGTATGTGCGCGTTTGTTGTTTACAGAAAATCCAAGGAAGGATGCCAAAACGGCTTCCTCGTGTCACGTGGACATGTGTTGCTGCTGCTGCTACTGCTGCTGTTTGCTACTCGTGCCAGTCCTCACTTTTGATGCTGGTGCTACTGCTGCTATTGCAGTTACATTTATTCTATATATTATTTTCTCTCGTTTCCTATATTTAAATCGCTCCATCTCCTCTCCATCTCTCTCTCTCTGTTCCTTGATCAATGCTCGACGCCGCCGTCACTTTGCGTAATAACGGCGTCGGTTGGTTGGTTGGTTGGTTCGGTATATGGTTCTTTGGCATTAAATAATTTTAGAATTTCAATCGCAGTAGTCTGCACCTTCTGCACAGTTCTGTGCATTAGCATTAGCTACCAACAGAATAACCGTTCCTATGCGATTTGGGTTGCCGATATTAGAGATTACGGCGATTCTTGTTGCAGCAGGAAATTTCTGCGAAACGCATCCGTCGCTAAAAATAAAAACCTAGCTGCGAAAAACTGCGGACATGCACAGCTGCAACGAACTGCAGGGAAATGGCGCAAATTATATAGCACAACACACTCTCTCTCTCTACTCCATGCTCCATGTCATGTGCCCAAATGTCTGCAGCTTTTGTAGTTTTATTATTTTTCTCGAAAAGAAAAAGTCCTTTTCTATATGAAGTGAAGGGTCTGACTGACTGTTCACTCTTTGCACCCTCCGCAGCACACAACAAGTGCACAATTCAATGTGAAACAACTGTCAATGTGACAGATAACCTCGCATATTATGTGATGGGTGCTGTGGCTGACCCAATCGATGGATGGGATGGGTGGGGATGTTTTGCAGACATCATGTATGTAAATATGGGGGGGAACAACTCACCTCGTTCTCATCACCATTTCTGTTCTTGTCGACTGACTTGCCCTTAGGATCCTGCAAACAAAGAATAAATTCATGAATTTTCCATTGAAACTGCTGCTGCTCTTGACAACGTCACGTTATTATTTCAATTATTGTAAATCGTCTGTTTGTCTGTTTCATCTCTTCTAATTGGTCTCAAAGCCTACTCACCATCTTCGTGTATCGGTGTTATCGTTAGAGTCGTATTTATTTATTATAGCCAAGAGAAATGGGATGGTGCAATCGGTTTTCGGTGTTTGTCGTTGCTCCTGCTGCTACTGTTGTTGTTCTGGATAGTAATGATGGTGATGATGATGATGATATAAAACGTCCGAGCGATGAAAGATATTATTAAATAATGGTAATGTAGACTGGGAGGTGTAGGAAGCAAATAAATATCAAATACATAAGACGGACGCCACGGCGTCACCACACGTAAAACGCCGTTCTTTCTGCTCTTCTATAACGTCGTCGTTGTTGTCGTCGTCGTCGTCTCCGTCGTCGTTTTCTTCGTTGCCACCGCCGCCCCTTCTACCTGCCTTGACTCACTCACTTGCACTCACTCACTCACTCACTCACTATTCTTCAATCAACGCGAACGACAATGAATTGATGAAGAATGATATCAAACAAGCAGTAAAAACAAAAACAAAAATGTGTGTGTATGTGTATGTATGTAACAAGAAACAACAGAAAAACAACTGCCGATTTCGTTTGCCAGCGCTCTTTTCTCACGATGCGCGACCGCGATTTTCCGATTTTGTTTTACGTCGTTGGTGTTGGTTGGTTGGTCGGTCGGTCGGTCTGATGTCTGCTCTTGTCTTTATGTATTGTAACGTATGTATGTATGTATGGATGTGTACGTATGTAGAAGTATGTAGTATTCCGGGTCTAAAACATATAGACTTTTACACCACAGACCAGTGCACCGCACAGAACGGAGGAGACCTTGTAGACATTTAGTGCTCGCGGATAATTGGTTAAATTGTGTCACGTGGTGCACATACACCGTCTTACATAAAAAAACACATACATGCACATGCACGCACGAACACACGCACACTCATAAACTCGTAACACGGACGGACGGACGGACGAGAGAGTTTGCTTTGAGCTTAGTGTGTGTGTGTGTTTGCCGCCGTTCGAGAGAGACAAGAGACGTGGAGACGGCCGGCGAGAAAGTGGAAGAAGATATGTGGATGTGTTTCCGGTGCCAGAGAATCGGATTTTTCCGAGATCAAAGTAGGAGGAAAAAGACAAGAGAAAAATAACCGAACTTACGAAAACCAATATTTAAATCGGTTCTTCAATTCAGTTGTATTATTATTATTATTCCAATTGGATGGCAGCCCGAGCGGACGTACGCAATCGACTCTACAAAAAAGCCAACAGTGGCGGCGACGAATATGTTTATGAAATTTCGTCAAAAGTCGCTTCAATCGTTAGGCAACCAAACACACATATACAAAATAGCTAATATTTATTTATTTTTATTAATATTAATCTATCAACGGGCATGAAGAGTACAAAAAAAAAACGATGTTTTCAATCCTCCTCGGCTTCTTCCCTCAGAACCGTCTCACCGTCGAGTTTCTTGAGGTTGGGCAACCGTTTGGACGCCTCCGCCTTCCAGACCGCCTCATCCACATTCTCGTACAGCGGATTCCCTTTGTTAAATCATATTATATATTTGTTGCGGCGAATGGAGGAGATTCGCATCATCACATACCGATGAAGACTAGATCTTCGAGCATGGTCAACTCCTGCAGCTTATTAAACTCGGACCAATCTTTCACCAAGTTGTTGCTCATGTAGAGGACCTTCAGCTTCTTGAGAACGCCGACGCCTTTGACGCGCTCTATGAAGTTGTACGATACCCACAGTTGCTCCAGCGTATCCGAAACACCCTCCTATACGAAACAATTGTATACACATATATATAACAACGTTTATTTTATAATTACCAGGCCGGACAAGTTCTTTATGTAATTCCGTCCGAGCGAGAGTATCTTCAGGTTCTTCAGCGAGTTGATTCCCGCTATTTTCTCAATCATGTTCGTGCTAAGACTCAGCTTCCTAGCAGCAATTTGAAATTGTATAAATGACGAAATTAGATTGTTTATGCAATGCATTCGATATTACTGACTGTACACTGACGAGAGCTGCCAACGAGTTGTCCATCTTTTCGATGGGCGGGAACTGAAACTGGAAGCCCACATCTGTGGCCTCTTTGATCGCCTCGTCCGGGTGCTTTTCCTCCCATCGTTTGATGGCCTCCTTGATGGTCGTTCCCTTTGACATAATACTTGAAACGCCGTCACCGTCACCGCCACCGCCACTACTCCTACACTATACTATTATTTCGACTGACGTGCGACAACTCCTGTGTTTCCGAGGCAACCAAAACTTTGTGACCGTTTGATCAATGAAACGCGATTTATTAACAAGAACAAGAACAACAACAAAAAGTAGAGAAATAAATAGATAGGACGATAATATTAAATGAGGACATCACGGATGTCGCTTGGAATTTTGTTGATTAGGAACTTGTGGTCCTCCCCTTTCGCGGTCGCGAAGACTCCGCCCACATTCGGGAAGGTGACGTCCTTATCGTAGCTGTACTTTTCGCCGCGGATGTCGGTCAGCTGACCACCGAGAGCGGTCAGGATGGCCTCCGGAGCGCAAGTGTCCCACTTCTTGCAGCCGCGACTGGCAAAAACGTACGCGTTCGCCTTTCCCTCCATCAATAGCAGAACCTGCAACAAAGAGCAAACGGTAAATTTCATCGGCATTTAGGTAGGCAAATAATTACTTTGTAACCGGCTCCGCCGACTTTGATGATTTCGTTGGTGGAGAGGGCGTCGAGCGCTTTCTGGACGAGTCCGTCCGAATGGGATCGGGTCGTCGTGACGATCAGCTGGTTTTTGGGCGGATCGACTGGCGTGAATCCGCCCACACCCAAACCGACCAATCCCCACATGGTCCTTCCAGGAAGCGCATCGTTGCTCTTGTAATTAAAGTACGGCTGATGGATAATACCGCCGACAGCTTTTCCCTTCACCGAGATCCCAATGAGAACTGTCACGTGCTCCAGCAATCCCTACAAAAAGAACGAGAGAGAGAGAGAGAGATGAACCGTAATTATCATTGTTGTTATGCTTTTGTACCTGCGTGTATTCGGATGTGCCATCAAGAGGATCAACCCAAACGACAATATCTTCATCGCTGACTTGAAGATACTCATTGGGACATTCCATTCCGAGGACAGAAGTGTCGGCATCTGTGACGACCCAATCGCTGGGCACCTCGCAATTGCTGGGTGGTCCTTCCTCACCGATGATATTGAGTGTGGGAAACTGATTTAACAACGATGCCATGATGCACCTCTGCGCGGATCGATCGGCCTCTGTTTGCAAATCATTTTTACCCTACCAAATTAATGAATATATGAATGAAAATTTAAAAGATTAAATCAATAAAACAATCACCTTTTCGATGATGCCCAATTCTCCGCGACTCATCACATCCCTGATAATCTTGCCAGCCCTCGCCGCAGCGGTTACAGAAGAGGCGATAAGCCTGAGAACGAGCGGTGCACTTTGGGCCATGTTTAACAACTGCTACCACTGCTACACTTTGCTCCAATAATCTCAAATGTAGATGTAAAAGAAGTAACGGCAAAGACCAGACACGCGATGCGCCCGATTAACTCTAGCTGTTGCGGAACCTTGAATTGCTTGAATGTGGTGATGTGTGGCAATGCGTGGTGGTGCAAAACGTAACCAAATATAAAACAACAAACTTGAATAACCGCGCCGTAACTGTTTACATATTACTTTAAGAGATTTACCAGATTAACGATTAACGTTGGTTGGTTGGCCCTGAAACCGAAAATCTGACCAGTCACTGATTCAAAACAGATGTGATGACAATTTTTATATTTTTTTGAATTGAATTATTATTTAAAATTTAACAACTTCTTAATAACTTAATAGTAATTGTAGTACGATAATTCAATTGTTAATCCAGTAATTGTATACCACTGACAACCACCAACATCACTTCGAAGTGTCAAATAAGAATAGGTCATAGGTCGGTGGTTGTCGGTTTTGGAGGTTATGCACGACTGTTTTGGTTGTCGTCGAGTTAGAAACAAGCATGGATAATAATTATACCACCGAGGAAAAGAAGAGACCGATCTTCAGGGATTTGAATGCGGACGATCCGGATCCAGAGGCGACAATCATCGAATCGCTGTGCATGAATTGTCATGCAGATGTGAGTGTTCACTTTTTGAAAAGAAAACAAAAAAAAAAGAAGTAATGTATGATATAGGGTTCCACTAGGTTGCTGCTCACCAGGATTCCGCATTACAGGGAGGTGGTGATAATGTCGTTCAGTTGCGAACGTTGCGGTTACCAGAACAACGAGATTCAGTCGGGCGGTCAGGTGGCTGAGAAGGGTATCCGTTTGAAGCTCAGCGTGGAGAAGACGGACGATCTGAACAGGCAGGTGGTGAAGAGCGACTTTACGAGCGTGAAAATCGTCGAATTGGATTTCGAGATTCCAGCTAAGAGTCAGAAGGGCGAAGTGACGACCGTCGAGGGAATCATAGATAGGAGCGTGCAAGGATTGGAGCAGGATCAGGTGCTGAGGCGAATCCAACATCCGGAAGCAGCACAGCAGATCGACGAATTCGTGGCCAGATTGAAGGCCCTGAAGATGCTCGAAACACATTTCACCCTGGTCAGTTCCGAGTGGGAGGAATGCAATATATTATTTTTTTTCTAAATTTTAGATTTTAGAGGATATAACGGGAAACAGTTTTATCGAAAATCCGAATGCGCCGTACAAGGATGCCAGCTGCGTCGCAGAGTATTTCATTAGGGAGAAGGAGCAGAACCACGAGCTCGGTCTTTACACCGACGAGGAGATAGGAGATAGTGATGTGCAAAAGGATGCGATATTGCATCCGATCAAGGAGGACGAATTCCCGCTGGAGGATCTGCAAGGTGAAGTCATGCAGTTCCAGACGAACTGCAACAATTGCGGTGCGCCGTGCGAAACGAACATGAAGATGACAAATATTCCGCACTTCAAGGAGGTGGTCATCATGGCGACCGTATGCGAGACGTGCGGAAATCGAACGAACGAGGTGAAATCTGGTGGCGGCATCGAGGCAAAGGGTCTCCGGATCGAGATAGACGTGAAGAGCAAGGACGATTTCTCCAGGGATCTGCTCAAGTCTGAGACTTGTTCGCTGAGCATACCGCAGCTGGACCTGGAGGTAGGATCGTACGCGCTCGGCGGTCGGTTCACGACCGTCGAGGGTCTGCTTGTCGCAGTAAGGGATCAGCTGAGCGATTCGAGACATTCGCACATGATCGGCGACTCGCAGGACCCCGAAAAGCGTGACCAGATGGCAAAGTTCATGGCCCGATTCCAGAAGGTGCTCGACGGCGAGGACGAGTGCACTCTGGTGCTCGACGATCCGGCAGGCAACAGTTACATCCAGAGCCTCGACGACGTCGACGACACAAAGCCGGACGACAGGCTGAGGATAGTCCATTACGAACGGTCGCACGACCAGAACGAGGAGTTGGGCTTGAACGACATGAAAACCGAGAATTACTAAATAAACAATAAACAGTGATAATACTTATTACTACTAGTAAAATCTCTTTCCCTACTCCTTTCCTCCTTCACATAATATATATATATTTAATCATGTTTTAACATATGAAGCCACGAAAAGTGCATGCAACCAAACTGACAGTGGTGATCCAGTCCAATCCAATCATATCCACCCTCAATGATATGAGTGTGTGTGTGTGTGTGTATTGTTATCATATAATTTTCCACCATCTTGTGTGGCTGAGTGTGGCCACGTAGCATTATCAACATAATATTTGTCGAATGTAGTCATCAATCGTAGATAAAAGTAGGTAGGAGCAGAGATGGCGGCGACCGACTGACATTAGTGGGGGTCGTTGTGATTAATTGCTCTCATAATAAAATAATAATTCGTATAAACATTTAATTGTTATAAATATATTTGTGTATATATATATATATATAATAATAATAATAGTAATGATGATAAGCGGCGACGGTGGAAACATTGCAAAATAATATATATATGATCGATTGGGAAAGAGAGAGAGAGAGAGAAAGCCAATCAATACCAGAGAAATTCGTAATGCGATTTAATTGATAATAATACTTTTCACTTTCCTTGCAAATTATAGTTTAGATAACACAAACAGAGAGAAAGCAGTTACAACAAGAATAACAATGTATCAAACACTTGTTGAATTAAAAAAAAATCAATGGAAAAACTAACAGCTATAAATATATATTCTTCTATCCTAATTAATGGATATATATATTTCTCTCTCTCGTCTATCTTTCCTTTGCATCTGTTTTTATATAAATTTGATTATAATTTCATAAGTTTCTTCTCAGCAGAATAGACTGAGAAGTAAAGAAAAACATTTTTTTTTGTTAATTATATGTACACACCGTTCCCCCTTTAAGCGCGATAACAATGTAGTAGGTTGGGTTGTAGGGATTGGATTACAAATACACATAACACACACACACACACACATATATCTGTGACTGTCCACCAATCTTTCGGCAGGCACGGCCACCTATTGCGTCTTGAGCTCTTTACCGATACTGTAGGAGACGATCTTACTCCAGTCGATCTTTGTTCTCGTCACTGGCAGCAGCCTCCGGAGCGCCTTGAAAGTCGTGTCCGACATGTTCTGGTAGTTCTCGGAGATCGCTTTCTGATAAAAGTTCTCCGAGTCCTCGATGACCTGCACGATGTCGCGCGCCGTCTGCGCTTCCGTGGTCACCTGCACCGACTCTTTGATCTCCTTCGAACTGACCAGCTGCACATTGCCGTCCTCGTAGTAGTGCACCTGCACCTTCAGGATCCCCTTGACGTCGGCGACGGCACCGGCGGCACCCTGATTCATCGTCACTATCCATTGCGACCTCCAGCGTCCGTTCCAATAGTTTTTCGGCTGGAATTGATGGTCCTCGATGCAGGCGGTCAAGGTGATCGCACCGCCCGGCTGCGATCTGCCCATCGCGCTGCAGACGCCGTCCTTGTAATGGTTGCGTGTGTAGAGTGCGAATTCGGCATCGAGAGCGGCGCGCCACGGTTCTGCAGTCGCGTCCGGAGCGTGCGGTTGATAGTCGGACGCCTCCTTTCGCAGGTGATCGAACTTGAAGCTTTGCCTGGTGCGCGGATCGTAGAACCTGTTGTTGCCCAGGTCGTTGTACTCGGTGATGAGGACGGCACACTCTGCATTCTCTATCTTCACAGGGATCTGCTGGTCCTTGTTGTATTGGGCGAACGCACCGCTCGCCCCATCCTTCAGCAGATCGTCGTTGTCGAGCAGCTTGCGAACGTCGTTGAATACCTCGTTGAATTCTCCGGGCGGAGAGTGCAGTATGAAATCGGACACGATCCTCACCTTGTCCTGATCGGTGATAACATCATCTCCGTCGGTGGCCGCCATCTTACTGCTGTCGCTTATTTATTCTTCCTTCCTTCCTTCCTTTCTTTCGCACTCTTACTTCTAGTCAGTTGTTGTTGCCTGTGTATATGTGTGTGTGTGTGAGTGTGCGTGATTTTGATCTGCTGCTGCTGCTGAAAAAACGGTGGCACAACAGTTAGCGGCCGTCTGCGTAACGCACGGTTGATTGCAATAGATTACCTGCTGCACTCGCCGCTTCCTTCGTCAGGATACGTGGATTTGACAGTAATTGGGTTTGGTTGTGCCACTCGATATGGAGATATCGCTGCAACACAAATTCTGATATACAAACACACCCGAACGCCAACAATGACAAACCACTGCCACCACCACCACTGCTACCGCCAGTTTGACATGTGTCAAATGGATGATGGTGCCAACCGGCAACAAAATAAAGAGTAAATTACTAGTCGACTGTGGTGGTGGTGATGATAGGCAACCGAACGAACGCACAATCGAAATAATTTACCTGTCAAAAATGGTCAGAAATTTTACATAACATTGAGGTTATCGTTTAGTCGAGTGTAAGCAGTGGGAAACGTATAGTAAAAGCAGCGAAAATGTTGTCGATGTTGATGGCAAAGAAGGACCAGGAGAAGCCGTACGCGTATTTCGATACGCCGGACGGCGAAGACGTCTTCCCGAAGTTGTGGTCCGTTTTGAAGCCGACTTTCATCGTCGGTTTGGGACTCTCCACCGTCGACGTCCTCCTCCACTCGAAGCCCCAGGGTTACGCCAAGATCCTCGGAAGGTACGCCTTCCTCACGCTCCCATTGATGGGTATGAGCGCGGCGTTCGTGGTAACCACAAACATGGCTTGCAACATCCGCAGCAAAGATGACAAGATCAACTGGCTGTTGGGTGGTGCTGCTGCAGGTGCAATCTTTGGTGCCTGGAGGGGTAACACTGAGGCAGCATGTGCAGGCATGATGGCCCTCTCTGGCCTAGCCGTAGGTAAGAGATTGCAACTCTATTATTATTATGATGATGACGATGATGATGATCAATACAATCGTTTATGTTTAGGTAAAAAGCATTGCATTCAGAATGGCTACACCATAATTCCCACCCATGTCCATCCAATGGCTGGTACTATCTGGACCCCCAAACATGATTGGACTCTGACCAAAGACAATCCAGGCGCATGGAAATTGGATCAGTAAATGGAGCACACTTTCTAATGCTTTTGATGGTAGTCCGATTGTTGTTCTGTTGTATATAAGTTAATAAATTATATTAATCACGTTCGATGGCCCTGCATTTGGCATGACACTGCATTCTCCCATAATACTGATATGATGCAGAAGAATATGCAAATGTATTTTGATTGAGAATTGAATTCTTAACAAATAAAAGATATTGACAATCCATTATTCTACGTATATATATATATATATTTCTTAAATTTAACAATAATATTCACATACGCAAACGTATTTATTATTTCTTTATATAATAATAATAATGGGTAATATTCCCTACAAATGTAACACCGAAACGGGGCAGGAGAAGAGGGTTGTTGAGAGTCATGTGTGGGTGTGGGTGTGTGTATTGGTATTTGATATCAGTCAACATTATATATATCAGCTAATCTTGGTTCTCACAATTGTATATTCTGTCTAGAAGTCTAAAATATGTTATCTCTTTCTCGGGAATTCTCACGATGCATTTTTTGTTTTTCTAGAATTCTCGAGAGAAATCTGTATCAATGTTCTGTTTTGCTATTTTGGAGAGATTGAGAGAATAGTGTTGCGAAGGAGTAGTAGTAGTCCGTAATTATTCGGCAATCTATATTCATTATCATTGTCTTTACTCTTCTTTGGCTTTGACATTTTTAGTATCGATGTCTTCAATAAGTTGTTGCTCCTCTGGGCTTTCTTCGTCGTCGTCATCGTCATTATCGGTGATTGCTTCCTAGATTCATTCGATGGTGAAACAAGTAGTGTTTAGTTAGTTAGATGTAATTTATTTTTCTTACATCATCGTCATCATCATCATCATCGGATACTTCGTGTTCTGCTGCGGTGCCGCTGCTGACTGTCGTATACTTGGATTCAGTAAGTAATTCATCGTCTCCGTTCATCTCCTCATCCGCTTCATCGTCGTCGTCGTCGTCTTCGTTCTCTCCTGCAAAATAGCATAATAGTAGTACGAAGCGGTACGAAGGAAGCTCTTTCGTGTCAAGTCTAACTGACTTTCATCGACGGCCGTATCCAGGCTGATCACGGAGAGCGTCATCTTGCCGGCGAGGACGACGGCCGGATCATCCTCCGAGTCGGAGCTCTGCGTTTCGATCTTGGCGTCGGCGACGAGCAGCTGAGATTGCGCGGGAAGCGCTCCCTCCAAGAAGATCTCCTGCAAAACATCCAGACACACCAGGTTACAGTTTCAAAAGAACAGTGGGCGCGCTGGAAATGAAGAGAACCTTCGGTGGTTCGGGAGCGTCCCGCGGTAACGGGGGCGGAGGCGTCGGCAGAACAGAACGCACCGATTGGTTGCTGCTCCACCTCTGACCGCCCTCGCAGCTGGCCCTCGTCTCCATACCGACCACCTTCACCTGCGGCTGCTCCTCCTCCTCGTCCACCTCAACCTCCTTCTTCTGAGGATGCTTCTGTTTCGCGATTCTTCCTCCATCGGCATCATCCTATATATCACACCATATCACATCACACATTTTGATTAGCGCAAAGTCACACGGAAAACGTTCGCACACAGCACATTCATAGATTAATTTTAGGCGAATCGTGTACATGTGTGTTGTGTTTACATTTTACTGAATGTCATGCAAATAAAGAAAAGAAACATTAAAAAAAAACGTGACGAAACGAAGCAAAGTATAACAAACTGTTTTTTTTTGTTGGTTTTTGTTTCTTCACAAATTGTTGTTAGTTTGGGAGGAGGGGAGGCGCTGATTTTGTTTGTGAACGGTACCTGATTGGCCACCGCCTTCCTGCGGGCCTCAAGTTCTCCATCGACCTCATCGAGCAGTGCGGTCATTGCGTTTACAACTGTTGAAAAATTGTTCATAAACAAAACAAAACTAAAATAATAAACTATAACTTGGGCTTCAAATAATAATAATAACAATAATAACTACAACTACTGCAGGTACATAACATATTATACTGTACGAGGAGGCAGCAATCTGTACGGAAGAACAACAACAAAGTAAAGTCATCATTGTTAACGAGATAAGGGAGGGATGGTATGAAGGAGGCGCATGCAAATAGCTAGAAGCCGAGCTGTGCAGCGATCAACTGGTCATCGTAATATTCATCGACCAGCTTTAGAGACAGGAGGGCGGAATATTCAACAAAATACCAGAAGAAAAAGAAAAACAATGTAAAACAATCGTAATAAGTAAACACCAGCAAAGAAACACACATGAAAAATAAATAAAACTCTTGTAGCTCTCTCTTGCGTGATGGTGGTGTTCGTGTGCGCCGCCCCCTCCCGCAGACCGACCGACCGATCGATAGGATGAATTATTAATATTATTGGGTAAAAACCAAAAGAAGAATGTGTGTATGTGTGTGTGTAAGAGTGTGTAGATAGAGAGAGATAGGACAGGGCCGCACCTGAGGAGGACCACCGCCGCCGCTGCCTAGAGGCACCTGCGCCATCTGCGCCACGATTCGCTCCATCGCAACTTCCGTCTCGCGGAGCCGCCTCCTCAATTGGTCCAGCTCGTCATCCCCTGCAACACCCCCCACAACATCTGTTCTAGCCAATCGCACACAACAACAATAACAAAATCATAATCATCATCATCGGAATCGCTACAATTCACCCCAAGCAACAATAACAACAACAACATCGCTACGCAAACTCACTGTAAAAGTGAAGAATGTGAAAACAAACAAACACAAAATAAAATAAATAAATATATACAAAACAGAAAAATGAATTTGAAGAAAATATGAGTTTTTTCAAAACGACCCACCCTCCTGTTTTTGTCTGTTTCGAGAGCTACAGCGCGACCAAAATCTGCAAAAAATACGTACATGTACTCGTACGTACGTCTGACATGTGCATGTACGTATTTTGCAAATCTATACGATCTAGAGTATGACTATTACCAATAACAACAACAACAAAAAAAAACAAACAATAATAATGATGTGAGGTGAGATGAGGTGCGCAAACTTTAGAGAATATAATGTAGAAATAGGTATGGGCGGCACTAAGCAAAATTATAAAGAAGGTAAAACGAATGGTAATAATAATGATAATTCCGATATAGAAAAAGACGAAGACGACTCACTTGCGTCCCTTTCCTTCCATCCTGCAGCCATCATCATTCATCAGCAGCAGCAGCGGAGGCAAAAGTAAAAACAACATTTTTGTAGGTAATATTATCAGCAACGTGTACATGCGAATGTTTTGTTATAATACGACGAAAACTGATGAATTAAAGTGCGAGCTGCTTTCATAGATATCATAATTATGTTATTATACAGATAGATAGAGAGAGAGAGAGATTAAGGGAGAAAGTAGTTGTTGTTGTTGATGACTATGATTGATTGATTGATATCGGTCAGTCAGAGAGTTGTCATAGTCTGTTTTTCTGTCAGCAGTAAATGGTGGCGATGGTGGTGGATAGATGAAAAAAGTAAAGAAAGAAGGCATATTGTAGTAGACATACCGATCTTGCTGGACGGTTGATCCCTCTTTGCGGGCATCTTGCATCGTTCGCTCTCGAAGACGTCCCTCCGGAACTGCGGATCTGGTTCGACCGGTGGATACAGCGCACCACCCGCACCGTCCGGTTGCTTCTTGCATAGCAACTGCAAGAGTGAAAATGAGGGAATGAGGGGGAAAAATTCAAATTTTGAAACAGCTTCATCGCACCTTGATCAGGGTGTACGTGAAGAAGACGACGATGGCGACGGTGTAGATGGGCATGATGATGCCCATGCTTCCGGCCTTTTGCGATGGTGGAACGACGTGTCCAGCGCCTCCCATGGGCGGCCTCATTCCGGGAATCGGACCGGGCTGCGTAAAGGAAACAAATCATAATTGTAGTAATAATGATGATGCGAGAGGACAATAACAACAGCAACAGCAACAACAAATACAAGAGCTATTTGCAAAAAGAAGAAAACATAAATAAATGTATGTGCATAATGGTTGCATTAGCAACTGTTTGCGAGACACGAGAAGTGAGCGAAAAAGAAATATTATAATAGGAGCGAGATCAGAATGTCGAAAATAGAATATTATTAGGCAACGGAGTGAAAAAGTTATTTTCGCATTTCGAACTCTCGCATACGCACACGTATATGTGTCTGTGTGTGTGTGGTGTAAGATAAAGAGGGACGGGATATGCAGATACAGAGCGGATGGAGAGAGAGATGAAATGATGAAAATATTTTAAATTCGTGAATGCGTGTGTGTGTGTGTAAGGTGGTCCCCGATGGTCATAGGATATTTTTACAGAGACGCAAAATATGTTTTTGTAAGATCATTCGTCTTCGTCGTTCATTATTCCCATAATAATAATGATAAAACTTACTCGTCCTTCGACGAGTTTAGCGCCCTTCGGAATGGTATGCGCCTTTGGCAGATTACCACCGCTCACAGGTGGAGAAGATGATGAAGAGGATGACTGATACCTGGGGATGGCACTTCCCCTTTCCTTGAACGCAGGATGCAGCATCTCCGCCCTCAAGTGCGGAGGTCGCTCCTGCCGGACACCTAAGACAGAACAAAATAAAATAAATAATAACAATATTGGAAGAAGATGGATTGATGGATGGACACGCACACACACACTGCTTATTATTATTATTATTAGTTGGCTGCAAGTAAAAATAGATTAGAATAAAATGCAATTCGATTATTATTGTTGTTGTTGTTAGTAGTAGTAGTAGTTTGATGTTTGATGAAATTGCCTTACTGGTCGCTTTGTAGTCGGCTGTGACCTTGTGGCCGACCCCCAGATGTTGAGGATCGAGGCCAAAGTTGTGCTTCAGGCATAGCGATCCGTTAAGGGTTCGCAGGTCCTGCAGGATCCGTTTGATCCGCGTACCGAATTTTAGATCTGCCCTCGCCCTTCCCTGCGACACCAGCGGACCGACGTCGATGCCGCAGGTGTCCATCACCTTGGACCTGCATCTCTCCAAGACACCGTCTATTCCTCTTCTTCCTTTCCCATCCCGTATTATTATGTCGTCGCACATTTCCCATATAATCTTAATCGTCGTCACATCCGAATCGGAAAACACATCGCAACATCCTGCTCTCCATCATCATCATCATCATCGTCATCATTAATTAGAATTCAAATAATCAATTATATTACCTGCACTCTTGTCGACTGCGTTCGGCCTGAGCTGATCGTCCGTCGTTCCGAACATCATTGGATAAAACACTTTGGGCCATAATACAGCGAAGCACGCGACGACCACGAACACTATGAACGCCGTCTTCTTGGGGCCGATGTCGACGCCGCCGTTCGCAGCCTTCGATGGGGTTTGCTGCTGGTGTGAACTGGTCGCGCTCTGGGCGCCGTTCCAGGACGCTCCACCGCTGTTGTAGTGCATCTCGCGATTCCCGCCGAGTGCCTCAACTCTATTGCAATAACTTTTTTCTTTTCTTTTCTTCTATTTCGCTCGTTGGCTCGATCGGTCCGCTTAGGAAGATTGCGTCGGACGTCGCGACGCTCGCTCGTTATGCCACTGGATGGACGTCGCGACGCTTATCGACGCCAGATCCCAGGGAAGACGACGACGCGTCGCAGCAGCGGATCGCATGCGCGCTCAAATCAATTCATTAATTAATGAAATTTCTCAACAGAAGTACGCAAACATAATTATAGAGCTATTCGTTATAAATTATTGGTCGTAGCTGCGAGATGGCACGGTACAATAATTAAATGCAAGCAAAGAAGTGTTTCGCGTACAGTGTGTTGCCTACTATAGAAATAGAGTGTAATAGAGATTACGACACTGCGAAAATCTGATAGAAAAGGTCGTTGGTTCGATTCCCAAAAACCAACAACCGAAAAAAAATACAACAGCAATATAACAGAAAGAGAGAGAGAGAGAGATATGAGATGGGTGGTGGGTGGTGTCATTTCTTTTATTCTTCATCTTAAATTTATTTAGGAATAGCAAGCGCGCTCTCCTCCTGTCCCTGTCCTCTGCGCCGTTCTCACTGCTCCTTGCCTACGCTGATCAGCGTGTTGCTCTTCTTCGTCTCGGGTTTTTTGTGATCGCCTGGACCGGCATCTTCCTCGTCGTACGATCGAGCGCCGGACGTGGACTCTTGCTGCTGCTGCTGTTGCTGGTGTTGCGATTGCTGCTGCTGCTGCTGATGATGATTGTTGTTGCTGTTGCTGCTGCTATTGTTTTGACCGGGATGGACGAGACGACCGATCAGCGTTCCACCGGCTCGCTCCTTGCGTGCCCTCACCCAGTCGTGCGCGATCACCCGATCGAGCGTCAGACGGAGCGTAATGTCCGGCTCGAGGATGTGCCGCACAATCGATTTGGCCGCCGACGAAATCGTATCACGCACTCGTGATCTGAAGACCCAGTTCCTCGTCATCTGGTCCTTGAGCAGTTTCCGTAGGTTCGAATCGTCGAAGGGCATCGACGCGTTCAGCATGATGAAGAGTATGATGCCCAGGGACCAGATGTCCGACAGTTTCGGATTGTATGGGGTGCCGTTGACGACTTCGGGTGCGGCGTAGGCGGCCGAACCGCAGTACGTCTGGCTGAGGACACGTCTGCCCTCGCCGTCCACGCAAAACCTGGCGAAACCAAAGTCCGCCAGCTTTACATTAAATCGCCTCGACAAGAGTATGTTCTCACATTTGAGGTCCCTGTGCGCAATGTTCTTGTTGTGCAGATATTGGAGGCCACTCGCCATCTGCCGGAACCAGAGTTTGGCCTGCTGTTCGGGGACCACTCCGTTCCTCTTTATGAAATCGAGCAGATCCCCGTTGTCCGCGTACCGCATGAATATGAAGACGCGCGGACCCCGTTGCAGGATGCTGTGCACCTGGATCAGATGGGCGTTCTCTATTTTCGTGAGGATGTCCAGTTCGCGCGGGAAGAACTTTTCGAGAAAGTCCTTGGGCGCCCTCTCCTTATCGAATATCTTGCATGCCAGCTTCATCTTCTTTCCCCCGGTGCCGTCCACGTACTCGGCCAGATGGACGGTCGCGTACGATCCCTGCCCGATCTTCTTGCCAATCAGATATCCACGCTGCTCGAGCGCGTTCACCTCCGAATTCCGCGGACTCAATTTTGAATTCGCCATAATACTATACTATATACTCTTTGTCACAACTACCACTACCACCACCACCACCACCACTAACCACCTGCTGCTATTACTACTGCTAAACCTGAAGTTCCTTTTTTCTTGTACTTCTACTTTTCCTCTTCCTCCTAACAGCCAATTTTTCTCCACTCTCCTCTTCTTCAATGTAAATTCTACGTTTATTATTACTGGATTCGTTTATTATTATTATTAAGAAATGAACGATGAATTCGATGATACAAGTTTTTTGGTTCTGCTGCTGCTGCTGCCGTTCCACACTGGTCGTCTGTGCAAGCACATCTACCGATTTAAAACAAATCTTCCAAAATGATCCTCCTGCCTTTTCCCTTTTCCCTTTTCCTTCACGAAAGATGTATACAACTCGAAAATTCGAATGATGCCAGTTATATGTATATGATACTTCTTCTAATTCTTCTTCGGGCGGGGGGAGTGCGCACGCTTTGAATGAGTGGATGAGAGCTGTTGCTGTGATGTGTATTCTTCGATTGGATGGATGCTGTAGAAATGTTGAATGTTCTTCTCTTCCTCCTTTGAAGAGATCACACGACGACAGTCGTTCGTTGGAAATCCACGGAAATCGCTGATTTGTAACACTCCTCCATATGGTCGCGCAGGAAATTCGCCAATTCGAAATTTGGAAACGGTGGTCCACGCGGAACGAAAATTTTAATGCAACCAAGAATTTACTATTTTTTGATCTTTCAGACAGCAAAATGACACTAAATATATATGTATATACAAACAAAGAAATATCAGCGCACCCTCGAATCGAGACCGCTGCAAATCGAAGGATTGGGGAATAGAGTGAATTAGAGGACATATATGTAGATAAAAAAATAAAATATAACGAAAAAGTTGTATTTACGCCACGGCATTTTCACATCTTCCCTCCTTCGGTTCCATCCTCTTTCTCCTCTACTTCTTGATGCTGCTGCTGCTGCTGGTGCTGTTCCTTCGCATCATCTCCTGCTTCCTCCGTTTCCATTGGGACAGCGTTGTCTTCTATCGCTTCCTCCTGCATGGGAGTAGACACTCGCATCTTTTTCCGCATATGATCGTCATCTTCTATCGGTTCCTCCTGTATGGGTGTAGGCACTTGCATTTTATTCCGCTTATCACCTTCGTCTCCTTCTTCGTCCTCGCTGTCCGTGTCCCTGTCTTCGCCGGGGTGCTTTGATATCATCCGATCACGATCTTTGACATCGCACGCTCCAGGTTCATCCCACTTCTTCTGAGCCTTCATAAAATAAAGATACACATATACGTCGTGTCATTAAGATGAGAGTCGAGCGGATTTCGTCTACTTACATAATAAAAGTCTTTCATGGCCTTGACGCGACCCATGTAGTACGAGTACACCAGATTCGCCATCTGCGTCATCTCCTCGATGACGGTCGTCGATTCGGTGGGCGGGGGTTGCAGGTGCTGTCTCTCCGTCGGGTACATCTCGTTCAGCACCAGGTGCAGCTTGTTGGGCCTCTTGATGAATTGTTGGAAGGCGGGCGTCAACTCGAAGCAGTTCTCGAACAGCGAAACCCTAGCGAAGACGTAGAGGCCGAGACGAGCTCGCGACATTGCCACGACCAGACGCCTGACGTCGCGCAGATGACCGACCGCCTTCGTCCTCACCAGCGACAGAATGATGTAGTCGTTCTGCTGACCTTGATATTTGTCCACGGTCGTCACCTTGTGAGGCCTCCCGATGAGCGGATTGTCCGCGCACCTGGTGTTGATGACGTCCCTGATCAGATGTTTCTGTCCGTTGTACGTGGTCAGGATGGAGATCTTCTGAGCCGGATACCCGATGAGTCGCATGTACATGAACAGTGCCACGCAATACTCTGCTTCCGCCAAATTCTGTTCGAAGAATGGAACATTTCCCCACACAATTAGAATAAAGAGAGCCGATAATAGAATATACGCACCTGATAGAAGTACGGGCTCGGCTCCGACTCGCCGACACCGTTGAAATCTTGCACGTCGACGAGTTGGAAGTCGAACTGGAGGCCGGCGTTCGCCGATTTGTACTCGTCCCTGTTGTAGACGTGCTCGAGGTTGCCCAAGTTCTTGTATCGCCACTTGTAGAGGTCGCAGATGCTGGGCCGCGCACGTCCCTGTCCGTCCAGATCGACCGTCGGCACACCCAGCCTCACCAGACGTGTGAACAAACTCTGTTCCATGTTCGAGTACTTCTGGAACGCCATGTTCTTGATGACGGGCGGCAACTGATGGTGATCACCAATCATGATCCACCTCTTCAGCCTGTTGTAGCCGTCCTGCGGATTCTGCAGCAGCAACGGAATGAATGTTTCGATCTCCAAGATCTGAGCGGATTCCTCCATCAGGATGTTATCGTACTTGAAGCCCATGTCCACCAGCTCCTTGCGCTTCAAGGCGGCGTGCGTACACGTCATCGCAATGATCTTGGCCTCCTTGACTAGCAGATATTTCGATCTATCCAGACCGGATCGGAGCAGTTCGAATGCCCGGAACTCCTCCAGCTCATTGAATATGTGCTGTATGTAACGGAAGCAACTGTCCGCGATGTCCAAGTCCTCTGCGACCGATGCGCCCTTGAACAGAGGTTGCGGAGCGTTCTCGAAGAACTTGCTAAATGGGAAATCCTCGGAGATCCGCTGCAAAGACACGTCACCGGGATCGACGCCTTTCGGCCGCACCACGCTCTGGTACTGCTCCCATCGAGACAGGATCTGATACAGGTAGAAATGACCGGCGGTCTCGCAGGTGTAGGCGACATCGCCTTTAACTTCTAGCGACTCCTGCAACCTCTGAACGTCCGACAACAGGTCGAGTCGCTTGGCTAGCACGTAGTTGACACGTCCGTAGCGGCTAAAGTCCTTTTCCGTTTCCAGCGCTTCCTCACCGTGCCCGAGACGTAGCAGATGTCGTTCGTCGATGTCCAGAGATGCTATTTTCTCGAAGAGCTGATTCAGTGCCTGATTGGAGTGGGTCACGATAAGCGTTCTCTGGTTGGGGAAGTTGTGGTAGAGGTTCGAGATGATCTGCACGGCTACATCTGTTTTTCCTGTACCCGGTGGACCGACGACCAGCGTCAATCCGGGCTGCATTCCTGCCCTGATCGCCTCCACCTGCGTCGGCGTAAACGGAATGCTGTTCCTGTTACACAAATTCAAATGGATTAGTCAAAATAATAACAACAAACAGTTATGTTTTGTATGTATATATATATGTACTTTTTGGGCTCGTTGAATGTGTACGGTCCTCTCTTAGGTATTTTGTGCGATTCTACAGTCAACACCTCCTTCTCCTCCTCCTTCACCTGGTCATCCTTTCGCCGATCGAAGGTAATCCTGGAATAAGAAGGAATAAGATTAACTTTACAGTTTTTGCTCGATTCAAATGCTACAATTTACTTGAATGGTCTCGGCATTTCCTCTCGATTTTTTGCGGAATACGTGATTTTTCTGTTCGGGAAACAGGAGCGCAGATGGGCGGCATCGATGAAGGTGTCGTTAAAGTCCATGGTGGGAATAGTGTCGGGCATGCGGGAGTAATGGGCGGCGCCCGGGTCTCCGTATCCAAGGATGATGTCGTGCAGCCAATCGGGAACGACGCACTCGGTGTTCATCAGCTCCCTGATCGTCTCGAGGACAGCCTTGAAGTTGTTCTCCTTCGGTTTCCGACGCATGAATATGTTGAAACCTTTACGAACTGGAGATTAAGACAAAGCCCACCGGCATATATATAAAAGAGCACTACCTTCGTACACGTCCTCGCCGCCCTGATTGGTCAGATTCATGTCGTCCCTATATTGATTGCAATCGAGCCACACCCTGTAAGTCCGCTTGTCGCCGGGAATGGCCGGTTTCGGTTCGGGCCCATCCTCTATTACACGCCCATTGCTATCGAGCATACCCTCGACTTCGCAACCTCTCACGCAGTGCAATCCAACCTGCGGTATGAACGCATTCTTGTAATCGTATTTGGTGCCTTCAAATAGAGAGTATGCAGAACAAAATAACAATAGTTAAAAAAAATAAAAACAAACAAGTGTAAAGTTGCGCAACTGACCGATCGGGTTTACAGGAATGACGGTGATTAGAAAGCACACATCGTGTTTTCGCAGATTCTCCCATTCCGCTTTGATTTCAGGCCGGACGGAGAGGTTCACCGTTACATCGGCTCGAACTCGGCTCGGACGTTTTTCCCCTGTAACAAACATATTTAATAAAATGTCCTCTCTCTCTCTCTCCAGCAATTTCTTGACTAACCAATGTTGGGTTTGGACACCTCGACAACGGCAAAGGTGACGATTGGTTGGGCCATTCGAGCCCAGCCACCCCAGTATACGCTTTCATCCTCGGCCTTCCTAGAAACGGAAAAATTAAATTAAATGACAAAACACTTAAAATCTGCGTCTCTATTTATAATCGAAGCAACAGCAACTATACTCACCAAGGACACAGCCTGCTGACGGCATCTTCGATATCTTGACGTATTTCATCTGGTTGAAAATAAGAAAAACAGTTTGTTTTATTTAGCAACGTTTATCGTGTGATTGATGGTTATTAAATATATATACTCACAAGTGGACTCTAGGCGAAACAGATTGAAATTTCTGAGCAGATAATCGTGCAGCGTGAGGAACTGCAGATTGAGCTTGGGCAAAGCGAGGCAACCCTCGCCGGAGAAGTAGGCCGTCGGTACGACGTTCTCATTCCAGATGATCTCCTCCGTCGGATACAGTGGCATCTCGTTCAGCGAATCCAGCTGCGAGATGCGCTTCTCGTGCCTGGAAATCTGTACATTCAATTGTTAGCTTCGTTAGCCACAGTCAGAGAAGGTAGACAAAAATTACCAGAAGCTCCTTGAGAAATTGCTCGTCCGTTCTGCACCATGGAGCGTCCTTCTCGTTCTCGGTCGTCGGCACCAGATGCAGATAACTGCCGATCGCTCTCAACTTATCAACGCTGAAACAAAGGAACGAATAGAATCGTGAACGCTACTCATCCTCCTCTTAAATCTACCTCAAATTTGAAAAGTGTTTTTGCAGAGATTCCCTGGAGTCGACGCTGGCCACGTTCGCCAGCGAAAAGTTCCTCAGGTCAGGGAATTTCGCGAATGCCGCTTTCTGCAAAGAAAAGCAATATGAAAACTTATCACAATACATATATATATGTATGTATATATTCTAAAGGGGGATATAATCGAAATACCTGCAACGATGTAATGTTGTTGTAATGAAGTTCAGTCATATCGTGATCGGTGAGCGGATCTCCGGTTACATCGCTGATTTCGAAGCGGGCGTAGAACTTGAGCATATCCAATAACTGAAAAACAAACCAAAACATCAACAAAATCAATCGATTAAAACAGTTTACAAAATAAAAACTATGAATTTTCTAATGTGATAACTTAAAAACAAACAAAAAAAAGAAATACGACGTGTATATATTGGGTACGATTTGCGTACGCACGTCCAAATTATCTCTGGTTTGAATGAGAATCGCGAGCGCGCGAGACGCGAAATTAAAAGCAATGAAGCTAGTCTGAATCATTCTTTGGTCGCGGCAACATCAACACGTTCTTGCTATTGTTAGCATGCAGAAAAGCAGTAACCGGATAAGAAGAGGAAGAACAACAATAACAACAAATTCGAAAAACATATAAACAATAGTTTTAGAAACATCGCTGTAAGTATAAAGGTGAGTAAGTATAAATATATATATTATTGATCCAACATATATCCCATCCCATCCCATTCCATCACATGTAAACATTAATGTAGTTATTTTTATTATCTCGTTGTTAAGTCTAGCTCGTCACCACCATCCCCACCTCATCCAACTGAACTAACGGAAAAATAAAAATCAAATTTAAAGAAGAAACAAACAAACAAACTAAAAGTTGGTTTTAAAATTTTATTAATTTCACGCGAAGATGATTCGCGTGGGAGTCTGGCGAGCGAGTATTAATTGCTTTTGAAAATACGTTCACGAATTTAATGAGTTTACATAACGCTGCAAGCTATTATTTAGAGATAACATTAGCATGGCAGAAATAGTGGAAACGGCATACACACCCACACACACACACACATCAGATCCGTCCTAATATTTGTTGAACTATAATAATACAATGTGGACTTGTTGTTTAATTAATCGCATTCGACAAATATTTAGAGATTAAACATGCTCAATTATGTAAATATGATGGCATAATTGTGAATCAGCCTTGACCAACAGAGAAAGAGCCAAAAGCCAAAGACGCTGTTCTCTCTATCTTTCAACTTGATTTTATTATATAAACACGAAATATGCGTTGCGCAACTATAATTGCAGTGGCATTAAGAACTCAAGTTTTCGGTAATTTTTTAGAATCGCCGGTGCCGAATGATTTCTCTCTGCAATTTTTAACACATACTGTTAAGCAATTAGTCTTAGTATAAACTTTTCTTTTGACTAATCTTTACACAAACAAACCAAAAAAAAACAGTATGATAACCTCGGAGATTGTCGTTTTCATTTGATTTTGTTTTGTTTTTCGGATGACGTTGATAGATATTAGGAAAGAATCTCTAAGAGAATAGTTTCGAGATGGAAACAATGCATTTTGCGTAGCGTGTCGAACGAACCTATCTATCTAATCGAGGCGACGCGATTGATACGAAACATGTAATCTGTACAACATATGTTGTATCAGTAGGAGAAGAATCATAGTTTGCGCGAAAAATCGAATCGAACGGCGCTGCGATATAAATAAAAATAGTTCAGCGTAAAGTCATCACCGATATTTCTCATTTAAGAAAAACTTATTTTTGCAATCGCGAATTCTCCGCATACACTTCGAAAAATGACAATATACACGATTAAACAACGATCTCGTTGTTTATCTGTAATCTGTAACTTTATATATATATATAAATGTAACGTGTTAAACCAAATACATAATAATGCTGTAATCTAATCTGAAATAGGTGTGTCTCAATCAATGAAAATGTCATATTGACGTTGAGAATTGATGAATCAATGAGGAGTTATATTGTGTTTCTCTGTTTCAGATCATGTTCATGTTCAGATCTTCGCAACTGTTGCTATTCTTGTGCGTTTGCACGTTAGAACCACTGACGTCGGTGGCGGAGGGCTTGAATTCGTGCTGCGATGAACCCAACTTGATTCAGAAGAACAAGTGCTGGAATGAGGTACCGATAAATTTGAGCTGTCCGAAGAAGTACCTTCTGGACCCCGATTTCGACGAGAGCGAGACGTTCAGGCTGTCGAGCAGCGGTGATCTCATGTACCGGACGATAGGTTCTACGAAGGACGTGGTCGTGCCCAAAGAAGAATTCTGCTTGACGAGTTTGGAGAGCGAGAACGGCTCGAAGGTGGCCATCATTTGCATGAACGCTGAGCAGGAGGAGTCGCTGGCTTCGGAAGAACTATGGTTCACTTTGAGGGCCATCTGCGGCTTCATCTCGGTCATATTCCTGTGCATGACCCTGTTCGTCTACGCGCTCGTTCCGAACCTGAGAGATCTGCAGGTAAGAAACACGCGTATACACATATATAAATAAATAAATAAATACATCTATTGTACAATTAGGGCAAGTGCATTATGCATGCGATCGCATCGCTCGCTTTGTCGCTCTTGTGCTTGGGCATCATCCAACTGTTCAGCAATCTGGATACGGTGTGGTGTTTGACCTTCGCGTACATCAACTACTTCGCCTTCATGACAACCTTCTTCTGGTTGCACGTTACCTCCATCCACGTATGGAAGACGGCCACGTAAGTCGACCTCGTCCTCGCACCTCGTCCTCGTAAAAGTAATCGTTACGAATAATCATGATCTTCGTATAGACGACCTCACATCATGGGCACTGATCGGCAATGGTACATGATCTACCTGATCTACGGCCACGGAATGCCCATCGTTTTACTCACGATGCTCGCCATCGCCAACCACACGCCCGGGGACCACCTCAAACCGAATCTGGCGACCGGCCGGTGCTGGTTCAACGGTCAGCACGCAACCTGGGCCTACTTCTACGGTCCCATCTCGATACTGCTGTGCATCAATCTGGTCCTATTTCTTCTATCCATCAAGGCAGTATGGCGCGAGACCAAGAACATCAACGACGCCAAAGTCCGCTCCCTCAAATTCAAGTGATTATACGATTTATGATTATACGATCAGAAGCAGCAGCAACAGCAACAACTCTACTTTTACTTGCAGAATCCGCCTGTACGTAAGGTTGTTCCTCATCATGGGACTGCTTTGGTTCTTCGAGGTGATTTCCGTTGCCCTGAATAACGTGCACAGAATCCTGAATTACGTATGGTAATATCGAATATCGTCATCCAAGTACCATTCGAATTACTCTATTTTTTTTTGTTTCTGTTATCTATAGGGTCGTGACGGATTACGTGAACGTGCTGCAAGGCGTGCTGATATTCCTGCTGCTTGTCGTGTTCAGGAAGAGGGCGTTGCGTGGTCTTGCGAACAAAGGGTTCTACTGTTTCCAATTTCCCGGCATGTGGAAGACATTCGTAGACGAGGAGCAAGTGGACGAATACGAGCGAGAGGACGAAGTGCAGATGTCCAACAACGATCGCATCTGATCCGACCAGTAGCGAACAGTATCATTAACGTGCCATATTATTATTATTATCATCCATTGAAAGAAGATCTGATCAATATTTATGTTAAACATCGTTTACATATTAAACGTATCATGAATGTTATTATCTTATTAGCATCAATATGCGGCAAGCACAATTTTTCTCTCAAGAATATCAAACAGATGTCAATCACGTGCGAATGAAGGTCAGATTGTGGCGCCATGCATGAGATCATCAACATTAGTTCCGCGACATGTCCATTATATGATGATATCAATTTTATGATGCACCCCCGCCTCGCTTGACATCAGCAAAATCATCAAGCGAAACAACAAATGCGCACAAATATGGAATTATTCAAATCTCTCTGTAGATAGATAGGTAGGTAGGTAGGTAGGTAGGTTGACACACCTATCCGCACACATCGCAATACATTATATAAATGATTCAATAAGCAAATTATAATTAAAACCATAACATTTGCAATTATAATTGAAATGATCGTCTGTTCCAAGTTGGTCGGTGCTCTCATTCCTTAGATCATACCGCGACGGCAGCAGCAATTAGCTAACACTTCGGCCCACCTTTTCCCATTTGGGGGGTCTGTGTTATTGTTAGGTGATTACGCGTTTCCCGGAAGTATACGCACGTAATCCAGGTGTGCGTGCGTATCGAGTCACAAGGGTTGACGGATGCGTTAGGGGATTTCGATGAGCGTCACAAAGCGGGTGGGGAAAAACGTGTTAACGGTTTATTCTCATGTTATACACACTCGAATGGAAAGGCCGGCCGCATATGGTGTAAACTCCTTTTAATATTCCTTGAAAAGGCAGGAAAAAAAAAAGAAGAATACAATAAAATAGCATTCTCTGCATCCATCTGCCTCCGTAAAAGAAGAAAGAAGTTGTGTGTGATGGTGATGGATCATCGTATTTGGAATCAGAAGAAACGAGTTTACGCGCGCGCGCCACTGGAATATCAAACAAACAAACCGACCTACCAATCAACTCACCTACACTCACCTACCTACCTACCTACCAATAGAGTAGCTAGCAGATGAGCGAGAGCGCTTTGAGGTTAATCGTTCTTATTGGAGGGGAGCGAAACAGATTTGATTCGTACGCAATTCCAGCAAAGAGAAGAATTTATTCACAATAAAGATGAGCACACTGTGGACCATATTATCAACGTTAATAGTGTGCGCTTGGTGCGACCCGTCTTTGTCAAAGGTGAGGGTGAACAAGTGCTGCGAAGAAAATGAAATCTATGTACAAAATTACTGCACCAACATCAATGAAACCAGGGAGACCAAGTGGAGGCCCATTTTCACCAGCGAACATGGCAGATCCAATCAGCAAATTGACTACTTGTGAGTATTTCTTTCCTCATTGCAACATTAATTTTCCACAAACTGAATGTGTGCTGATTCAGCATAGCTACAGGCTCTCCTGACTGCGGCTCCCATCAGCAGTGGTCGATCTACCACTATGTCAACTCTCAGGATGTCCTCAGATTGCTTCCAAATGGAAAACTGAGACACTACATAAATAGACCGCTGGAGGGGGAAGAAGAGGAGTTTGAGGAAATGAATAAGAAGAAGATGGTGTTCTATGATTATGACAGTGGCAAGTATTGCCTGGACAAGGTGAGAATTGGGCATAATTAATGCAATTTTTGCTTTCATTTTTAAACATTTTTCAGAGGGTCGAAAATGGAACTTTGTCTGAATACGCTCTCGTGTGTGATCCAAAACACGAGAATCATTGGACAAACGAGATGCTGATGCGAAACATTGTTAATCCGGTGACGCACATCGTTGCGATCGGTTGCTTCCTCGCCGTGCTCATCTTCTTCTTAGTGATGCCGCCGCTCAAGGACCTGGTGGGTCGCGTCCTTCTGACCATCACTCTGTGCCTTCTGATCAATCAGGTCGCGGATCTGATCAGACTATTGACAGTCTTCAAGAGCAACGTGAGCATAATTGTAACAGGTAGGTAGGCAGCAACAGCATGAAAGTTCCAAATTGTAACGACAGCAAAGAAATAATAAAAATAAATCCTTTGCAGAGACAGTATCGTACGTGAGTCTGCTGGGTGCGTTCTTTTGGCTCAACAGTTTAGGCTATTGCATTTGGAAAATATTCAAGTGAGTAACATCAACGTCATAGTCAACTTAGTAATGATTGTTTGATTGATTGTTTATTGCAGATCCCGCAACGCTTATTTACGTATGACCGATTACAGGCAGTACCGGTATTACTCTCTGTACGCCTGGCTCAGTACGGCCGTTACCGGATTCCTCGCCATCTTCGCCCACTACACGCTCGACTACGAAGTGGTCAAATCGCATTTCAAAAACGACGAACAGGAGCAGATCGGTTCTCTGGCAATGATAATATTCTTCGTGCCCGTTGCCTTTACGGTTTTGGTGAACGTGTTCATCGTTAAGACGATCATCAAATTGCTCCGGACGAGACGCAATTCCGGTCAAATTTACAAGCAGCTCAAAAGAAGGTAATTCATAATCGAGTTGAGCGAGCGAATGCGCATTTTTAAATGTTTATTGATTTTAGTTTTCGGATGTTCGTGCTCGTATTCTTGGTGATGAGCGTCAACTGGGTGTTTTTCCTGATGTCTTTTTCCACACTCGACGGACTCGTCTATTGCTACATCATCGTGAATACCTTCCAGGCACCGCTGTACCTCTACATCTGCCTAATCAAATATCCGAAGAGCATATCGAAGATGATTCGCGACACCTGTTGCTACGACAATTGCCGACAGGAACCGGAGTACAAATGGTCATCGGCGACGCCAATGCGACTGCACACGACCGACTTTTAAAAATCGAAACGAAAATGGTTCAAAACTCGCAAAAGTGTACTTAACTATATAGCTCGACTTTTTCGATATATACGAGAATCTCATTTCAAATATATATATATATATGTATATACACACACACGTATATATATATATATATATTATTTTTTTATACTATTTATATATTTAGACATAATAAATTATTCCCTCCCTAATGAAAATCGTTCAATAACACTCACCTGTCTGAAGAGATGACCCTCTGGTCGCTTACTCAAATTTGAGAGTTGACATCGAACTACAAGGTGGCAATCATCCAGGACCGTGTTGAAGAACCTGCGCGTCAATAGCAGAGCCTCCAGATCGGTGACGAATTCTAAAAATCGCTCGCAGTATAGAACCTGCAAACGCGAGCAATTAAATCACGCTCCGACGAGCTGCTTCTGCTTGCTAATTACCTTCTCCTGCATTATCGGTCCTTCCTCTGGTATACTGTCGAGGACTTCCATGAATTTGCACATCATCTTATGCAACAGCGTTCTCTCCCACATCAGCTTTTCCATCATTTCAGGTTTATCCTTTTTTTGTATCGCCTTCCAGTACTTTTCCCACTTTGGGCACCTCCGAAACTCGGAATCTCGGCGCGCGCTCTGCAGCGAAACCCACATGGACAACGACACCAATCGTTTCACCTGATCTCGGCAAATCGGCTCCTCCATGCTGTTGAAGCAGCGATTCACGAACACCAGCAACGACGTTTGCTCTTTAATGGTGATCAACAATTCGTCGCGTTCTACGCTCAAATTCAGCACCTGCTCAAAGAAGTGCGGAAAGTGTTGACTGTTTTCTTTGAATGCCTTCAAGAAGAAAGAAAAAAAAATTAATAAGAACGATATGATGAAACACGCAAATAGTTAAAGAATTATTTCACCTGCCAGACTTGCACACGTTCCCTGAATTTCTCGTTCAGCATGATCACTATGGACATGATGTGTGCATGAGTGGCTTTATGGCTGTAGTTTGGCCACAGGTAGTTCTCCAAATACTGACTGAACTCCAGCACCATTATCCTCCTCACTGAAAAACTGCAATAGATCAGAACACGAAATTGAAGAGATAATCGATTGATCGATTGAATTAAACTCACTTGGTGCCTCTGATCTCCTGGAAGTATAGGTCTTCGATGACATTTGGCTCGTAGGGTATGTGAGAGTTTTTTGTGTGCGGGGCCCAGTACTTTTCAGCGAGCTACGAAAGAAAACGAATGTTTTATACGTTAGAGGTACGTTCGAGGTAGAATCATTTCAGGTTATTATTATGTTGAATATTCACCTGCGTTATCCTATCGGAATTGATTTGGTCGACGGTCGGAGCGACGATCTTGGACGCAGTTTCGCTCGCCATCTCCGCAATTAATGTTCAAATTGGATCAATTCAATTCAGAATTCAGTTTTCTCACATTCAAATTGGCTTGCGAGCAACTAAACAACACACACACGATAACACACGACAGCACGACCACCAACTGAAACAATAATACCAACAAGAATACAGATAATAATACAAATAATATGGATTGCAAACGTTAGAAAACGAAAATGATTATGAAGAAGCAGTGCTAACAACATATGTGAACTATTTTCAAATCCATCGAATAATTCCATTAAAAAAAATAAAAATAGATTCTTTGGATTTGTTAGAATTGTGAATGATTTTATCTTAATACAACAGTCCAAATATACGTGTTTGCAAGGTATTCTTATAAATATCATTTTGCGCGTTTGAGAAACACCGATCGTTCAATAATAATAATAAAATATGGTATGAATTGTATTCATCATAACCTAGAAACTGCTCGAAACAAATGAAAGATGTACGGTGTTAGGAGGGTGTCCGTAGCTGGTAAACATTTAGTCCAATTAGAAAATAAGAATGTCAGGAGATGCAAGAGGTATTATAGCGCACCGTTGGATCAGACCGAGGTAGAGGTGCCGTTCAGCAACGGGTAGGTACGTTCCGCTGCATTTTCAGGTTATAAATATTGTTCAGAATGGGTCGAGTGAATGTACGTTCGTTGCAGGAGGAACCTCCGGTTATCGTCCGGCAGATACGCCAAATTGGCGGACGGATGTGCCGTGGCGTCGCTAGGTGACACCGCAGTCATGGTTACAGCAGTGTCGAAGACGAAACCGTCGACGAGCAACTTTCTGCCGCTCGTCGTGGACTACAGGCAGAAATCGGCTGCGGCCGGTCGGATACCAACGAATTTCCTGAGGCGAGAATTGGGCGCCAGCGAGAGGGAGATTCTATCGGCGAGACTGGTGGACAGGAGTCTGAGGCCGCTGTTCGCGAAGAACTTTTTCTACGAAACGCAGGTCGTCTGCAACATGCTGGCGGTGGACAGCGCGAACAGTCCGGATGTGCTAGCAATCAATGCGGCATCCGCTGCTCTCGCTGTCAGCGACATTCCGTGGAATGGACCGGTGGGAGCGGTGCGATTGGGTTTCATCGACAACGAGGTCATAGTGAATCCGACGAGGAGGGAACTTCAGGAGTCGATACTGAATTTGATTGTGACGGCGACCAAACAGAACCTGGTGGTGATGTTGGAGGGTAGCGCGAAGAATATGCTACAGCAGGATCTGCTGAAGGCGATAAAAATTGGCACAAAAGAAACGCAACACGTGATACAGAGCATAGATAAACTGAGCAAAGCGTGCGGCAAGAAGAAGAGAGAGTTGGAGATGGCGAAAGAGTTGTCGGGGGAGGTCGAGGAAGCGTTGAGGACGTTGGCGGGGATGCGAGTGAGGGAGATCTTCATGAACTACACGCACGATAAACTGAGCAGGGATTACGCGCTGAACGATGTGCGGACGGACGTGCTGGAGAAGATCAGGGCGAACTATCCGGATACGGACGTGGCACTCGTCGCCGAAGGCCTCAACGATCTGATAAAGAAGGTGTTCAGGGATCTGGTGTTCGAGGAGAACGTCCGATGCGACGGACGGACGTTCGACGAGCTGCGCAACATCTCGTGTCAGGTGAACATGTACAAACCGTTGCACGGGAGCGCCGTCTTTCAGCGAGGTCAGACGCAGGTGTTTTGCACCGTCACCCTGGACTCGCAGCAGAGCGCGCTGAAGATGGATTCGATGGCGATGCTGACGGGTGACGGCGTCAAGGAGAAGAACTTTTTCCTGCACTACGAATTTCCGCCGTTCGCGACGAAGGAGACGGGCAGAATCGGACCGGCCGGTAGAAGAGAGCTCGGACACGGCGCCCTCGCTGAGCGCGGACTCAATCCGATCTTGCCGGAGAATTATCCGTTCACGGTGAGACTCACGTCCGAGGTGCTCGAATCGAACGGTTCAAGTTCGATGGCGTCGGTGTGCGGCGGCAGTTTGGCCCTGATGGATGCAGGCGTTCCAGTTTCATCACCGGCGGCCGGCGTCGCCATCGGACTAATCTCGAGGTTCTCGGAAAACGATACCAAGCACATGGAGGACTATCGGATACTGACCGATCTACTGGTAAGTGACGCACGCCGGCACGATCGACCACCTTTCTTCTGCAATGTTGTTCGTTTTGTTCTCAGGGTATAGAAGACTACATGGGAGATATGGACTTTAAGATCGCCGGCACCAAGAAGGGAATCACCGCACTGCAAGCGGATATCAAGATTCCCGGATTGCCGCTGAAGATCGTGATGGAATCGATACAGAAGGCGACCGAAGCCAAAGCCAAGATATTGGATATCATGCATGATTGTATCGAGAAGCCGAGGTAAATTTAAGATCTATCCATCCATCTATCCGTATAATGATAATATTTTTGGGCAGGGTCGAAAAGAAAGAGAATTTGCCGGTCAGTCAGAAGCTGGAATTGGAGGTGCACAAGCGGTCCAAGCTGCTCGGCGTCGGTGGAATCAATCTGAAGAAACTCTTCCTGCAGACCGGCGTTCAGGTGAATCAGATAGACGATACGACGTTCGAGATATTCGCACCGAATCAGAGCGCTCTCGACGAGGCGAACGAGATCATCCAGAAATGGCTGAACACGGAGAGAACGCCCGAATTGGAGTTTGGCGGCATCTACAGTGCAACGATCGTCGAGATACGCGATATCGGTGTGATGGTCACTCTTTATCCGGGCATGCCGCCCGCGCTTCTGCACAACTCTCAACTGGATCAGCGCAAGGTGAGTGTGTGTATGTGTACAGTAGCGCGTACAGTGATTTTGAGCTTGATTGCCTGCTTTCAGGTGGGGCATCCTAGTGTTCTGGGTTTGGCGGTGGGCCAGGAGATGCAGGTGAAGTACTTTGGACGCGATCCAGTCTCCGGTTTGATGCGACTGTCGAGGAAAGTTCTTCAGAGTGCGGCGCTCAGATAAAGTTTGTACGATGAACGTTAATTAATTCTTAAGAAATTACATTACACTCTCTTTTTTTGTTGCTGACGTTGTCTTCGTCTTCTTTCAAACTTGGTACACTTTTATTTCCTCCCTCACAACGTTCACTATGTATTGTTTGTGTTTATTTTTTCCGGTCGGTTATTAATCTATAATCGTTTCACGCATACCATACCATCTACCACCACCACCGCCCCTCCTACTAACAATCCGTGTTACAAACCTTGCACAAACAATTTAATACCTGTTGCTTCATTATTTATTTAAGTGGCAGCAGGAACGAACGAACGTATGAATGAATGGAATGTATTGTGTGTTTGAATGTAATGTGTGGTGTAGTATTATCGTATCGTGCGTATCTTTCATAGTCAATTGAAGTAATTCTTGAATAAACGTAACGGATTTACCTGGCGCAACGATGATCGTTCATCATTTGTGAAAATAATTGTTTGAAGTTTTCTTGGCTATTTACTTAATACGATATGTTTCTCGTGAAAATGATTCTTGCTCATATAATTTCGAAGAATTCGATTAAATTAAATGTTAGTACTCAAAGAATTACCAAAATATACATACATACATACAGTCGATGATGGTGATGCTAATGACTACCATTCAATTATAATTGATTATTATTGTTGTTGTTATGGGAAAGAAATGAAACGAGAATAACATTCGAAGAATTGAATATCGCGGTTCGGCGAAATGGTGGTGATGGTGGTGGTGGACCACCAGCTTTAATTATAATTAGCGTCGATTGAGTCTGCCTTTTCTCTCTCCCACTGTACCATTCTATGTAGTATCGCAATCAGTTTTAGTCATAATCAACATCTTTTAGTCAACCCACACACACATTCACTTGCATATATAATTAAGCACGCGTCTATGTGTGTTTGTGTATAAGCCAGCAGTAGTAGCAGCAGCAGCAGCTAGTCGATCTAATTTCTTCGTGCACGCTTATCTCATTAATCACTTTTCGCACGTGCCTTTGTTCATATAATTAAATCGTGAATCAAATTGAATCTGTGTGTGTGTGTGTACATTGAAAAAGTGATGGATTGTTGCTGTTTTGGGGGCGTTGTGTTTGGTTGATTGGTGAGGGTCGGAGATGGCTCGCATACAGAGGACAGGACAGGACGATAGGACGAGACGAGCAGAGACTTGTGCATAAAGGTCGGACACGGCTCCTTCCTCTCCGGGTCGATCATCGATTGATTTATTTTTAAAGAGGAGCAGTGTGGCAGGGAGGGAAGAAGAGAGACAGAGAGAGAGGATTATCTTTTTCGCGCGCGTCCTCTCTCTCTCATTCTCACTCACATACACTCATTCTATCCGCTTCTCTCCTATACGTTTTATTATAATACATGTACGAAGTATTAAAAGCTGAAACCTAAATGGTCGGTAGTGGTGGATAGTGTGCGTGCACGAGTGTCTGCTATAGGTAGGTAGGTAGGTATTACACCAAAATTGTTACATTTGCAAAACTTGGTCCGGTGCGTTCGCACGCAAACAAATATTTGCAAGTTGCGTTTCCTGTCTACTGTGTGTGTGTGTGTGTTCGTTGCTTGCTAGCTGCGCGGTTAGTTCTAGCAGTGCAATTATATTGGATAACTTTTAATTAGATTACGTAAGCACTCGAAATATATCTATACCTAACACGAAAGAGAAAGAAATATTCCTGCTGTGGTGGCAGCAGCAGCAGCAACATCGGAATTCGGGCAATAAGGGAGAATATGGCATCATCGAATCAAAACGATAGTGTGTCGGGCAGCAGCAGCAGCAGCATCATAGTGTGCAACGATGGACTTTTGGTGCCGTGCTGGAGACCTTTGCTAGGTGTGAGCACGCTGGAGAAGGCGACGCGTGGCTGCGTCTACTTCGTGGTTATGGCTTACCTCTTCATCGGCGTCTCCATAATCTCGGATCGTTTCATGGCGGCCGTCGAGGTGATCACGTCGCAGGAGAAGGAGGTCGGCGTGAAGAAGGCCAACGGCGATAAGCACATCGTGGTGGTGCGCGTGTGGAACGAGACCGTCGCAAATCTGACGCTACTCGCGCTCGGCTCCAGCGCTCCCGAAATCCTCCTCTCCGTCATCGAGATCTGGGCGAAGGACTTTGAGGCAGGCGACCTGGGACCTGGCACCATCGTCGGCTCTGCAGCCTTCAACCTCTTCGTCATCATATCCATCTGCGTCTCGGTCATTCCCAACGGAGAGGTGCGAAAAATCAAGCATCTGCGCGTGTTCTTCGTGACGGCTACGTGGTCAGTATTCGCGTACGTGTGGCTCTACCTGATCCTCGCCGTCTTCTCGCCGGGCGTCGTCGAGATCTGGGAGAGCGTGCTGACCTTTCTCTTCTTCCCAATAACCGTGTTGACGGCGTACATTGCGGACAGGAGGTTGTACAAGTTCATCAGGAAGAGTTACCGCGTGAACGCGCGCGGCATCATCGTCGAGAGCGGCGCCTTCGCCGAGTCCGCTGATCTCGATCTACGTCAAAGGTTTCTGGACACGCTGAAAAGTCTGCGCGTCGATCATCCGACCGCCGACGTCCAAACACTCGAGCGGATGGCCCACGAGAATCTCCTGCTGAGCAAACGTCACCGATCGCGCGCCTTTTATCGCATGCAGGCAACGCGCACCCTCCGCGGTAGCGCCGACATCTTCAAGCGTACCTCCAGACAGGCCATGGACGACATCCAGGTCGAGTATCTGCAGGAGTCGGCCGCCTTTCGAAAAGGTGGTGGTGGTGGCGGCGGCGGCGGCGACAGAGGCTTGGATTCGATCCGTTTCGAACCGTCCACTTACACGGTGCTCGAGAACTGCGGCAGCTGCGTCGTCACGCTAGAGCGCACCTGCAACATCGACGACGAAGTCGAGGTCGAATATTGCACGGAGGATGGGACCGCGATTGCGGGCAACGATTACGTCCGTGCCAAAGGCAGCGTCCGCTTCGCAGCCGGTGACAACCGCAAGACCATCTCCATCGAGATCATCGACGACGAGGTGTTCGAAGCGGACGAGTATTTCTACGTGCGACTGAAGAAAAAGAACGGCGACTCTTCGGTCGCGACCGTCTTCATCCTGGACGATGATCAAGCGGGCTGCTTCAAATTCCAGCAACGCGACTACGAACTCATCGAGAGCGTCGGCAGCTACGAGTTGTCCGTGAAGAGGACGTCGGGCGGCAGAGGTCAAGTCATCATACCCTATTGCACCGTCGACGGCACCGCCAAAGCCGGCAAAGAGTACGAGTACGTCGAGGGAGAGTTGATCTTTGAAAACAACGATACCGAGTGAGTACCACCAATTAATTTCTCAAAATAATATTCACCTCATGCGCATCTTACATGCCACACAAATCGAAAACGGTGCCCGATGATGAGTGATAGGCAAACCAACTTACTTTCAGCATTCGCCAATTGCATATCAAAGAATACGTACGTGCACGCTGTGCGATCTAATGTACATCGTTGTTACATAATTGGTGTAGGGTCGATGGAAACGTAGACTTTGCATTAATAAGTATTTTTGTGAAAAAAACAACAACAAGAACAAATAAATCATGCATAAGCGGATGGACGCACGCATGTGTGTGGTATGCAGCAAATTTAAATTTGGCTCCAGAATGAAAGGCGGCTCGTTAAATAAAGGCGGTGCAGTTTTAATTGCGATTCATTTCCGTGACTCTTACATACATACAAACAAACATACACTTGCAATAGTAGTAATTGGTTTACGTTTACGAATAGCGCGCGACTCCAAAAATATGCATCGGATAAAATATCCTTTCCATCTGACTGCAAATTTCCTTGTTGCTGCCCATAATTAACTGAATTTATGCGTAACACAGTTTCTTTCCGAGTATTCGAATCAATCGACAATGATAGCGATGACGTTGATGATAATGATGAAATTCAATTGAATTCTCTGACTTTCGATAAACTAACAGATGACACACTGTCTTTCCCTTTCAAATACAAACATATATACTAGTAGTTTTTTCTGTCTGATAAGATTATTATTCATCTTTTTCTTTGAAATTCTAGTTACATACATACGAAAAGTACGTGGTAACAAGTGAGCAATGTTTCCATTATGTAAGTTGAATTGCAAGTCTCGCGCGCGTTGCTGAGGTCGGTCTTTGCGAAGAGAAGCGAGGTGAGCGAGTGCTTGTCATCGTCTTGGTAGTCGTCGTCGTTGCCGCCTCCATCCGGGGCCGAGGCTTCCGAACGGCGGTGGCGGCGACAGAGGTGTATGTGTGTGTGTGTGTGTAAGTGTACCGCGCGCGATACTTGCGCACGCAAGACGCCCACGGGCCGACAACACCGAAAGGGGGGTTTGGCCGCCAGTTCCGCCCCGGCGCCAGTGCGAAGTGCGTGCGAGTGCGTGCGGCATGTCGCTGCTGTTTCCTTAGCCTCGAAGAGGTAGTAACAACATCAACATACACGAGAGATCTGCAGGTCGTCCGTGTCGTTAACCAGAAAGACAGACAGACAGAGAGAGAGACGTAGGTTCGGAACAGAAGTAAGGAAATATAGACATGGAGATCGTCGGCAGCAACGCAACCGTGTCCGCGAACGGAGGAGGAGGAGGAGGTCGTGTTGTAGAAGATGGAATCCTGTCCATCAATTGCAGCAATGGTCTGATGCTTCCATGCTGGACACCGCTCGTGGATGTGTCCGTGTTCGAGAAGATCTGTCGAGGATCGGTTTATTTCTTCGCGCTGGTCTACCTCTTCATCGGCGTCTCCATCATATCGGACCGCTTCATGGCGGCTATAGAAGTGATCACATCCCAGGAGAAGGAGGTGGCGGTGCGAAAGAGCAACGGCGACCGGCAAATCGTCGTCGTGCGCGTGTGGAACGAGACGGTGGCAAATCTTACGCTGATGGCTTTGGGGTCGAGCGCTCCCGAAATCCTCCTCTCCGTCATCGAGATCTGGGCAAAGGACTTTGAGGCAGGCGACCTGGGACCTGGCACCATCGTCGGCTCCGCAGCCTACAATCTGTTCGTGATCATTGCGCTCTGCGTCTCGGTCATACCCAATGGTGAGGTACGAAAGATCAAGCATCTTCGAGTGTTCTTCGTGACGGCTACGTGGTCAGTATTCGCGTACGTGTGGCTCTACCTTATATTGGCCGTCATCTCGCCGAACGTCGTCGAGATCTGGGAGAGCGTACTGACCTTCCTCTTCTTTCCGGCGACGGTGTTGACGGCGTACGCAGCTGATCGCCGGATGTACAAGTACGTGCGGAAGGACTACAGGATGAACGCACGCGGTGTCATCGTGCAGGCGGAGGCCCTCGAGATGGGCAACACCGATCACCTGATGGGTTACGACGACGTGCACGAGGAGATCAAGCAAGAGTACATCGTGACGCTGAAGCAATTGCGAGGCCAACATCCGTCCTGCGATCTGGAGTCGCTCGAGAGGATGGCGCACGAGCTGCTGCTGAACAGGGGACCGAAATCGCGCGCCTTCTATCGGATCCAGGCGACCAGGAAGCTGATGGGCAGCGGTGATCTGCTGAAAAGGATATCGGAGAGGGCGCAGAGCGATCTGAGCGAGGTCAAGGCAGAGCTGAGACGCGAGTCCGGTGTCGCCGAGTTCGTGCCGTCCGGCTGTCGAGTATACTTCGAGCCGGCCACCTACACCGTGCTCGAGAGTTGCGGCCGCTTCGACGTGCGTGTCGCTCGGTCCGGTGATCTGGACGCACCGCTCGCCGTCGAGTACTGCACGGAGGATGGAACAGCGACGGCGGGCAGCGATTACGTCGCCGCCAAAGGGACGCTGCACTTCGGACCTGGCGACAAGGAGAAACGGCTCACGCTCGAGGTCATCGACGACGACGTCTTCGAGGCGGACGAGCACTTTTACGTGCGGTTGAAGGGATCGCAGCCGGCCAATTCGCTCGGTTCGCCGACCCTCGCGACCGTCGTCATCCTTGACGACGATCACGGCGGTGTCTTCAAATTCGCTCAGCGCGATTACGAGCTCGTCGAGAGTGTCGGCACGTACGAGTTGGCCGTGCAGCGGTGCTCCGGTGCCCGAGGTCGTGTCATCATACCCTACTGGACGCAAGACGGCACCGCCAAGAACGGCAAAGAGTACGAGCAGACCGAAGGTCATCTCATCTTCGAGAACAATGAATCAGAGTGAGTCCATTGTCCCTTGTCTCTTTCGCTGTTTATTCTGTTTATTTTATCGAAATCTCGTGCGGCCGTTTTGGACGTCGTCCAGAAAAGTGCAGACTATGTCGTCGTCGTCTGTTCGCGTCTCGCACATAAATCATTTCCAATTTTTATCCAAGTCGCCGCCGCCGCCGTCGACTACGATCAAACGACCGGAGACTAGCTTATGCTTTATTCCGAAATTATTATTATTAAAACAACAATAACTGGAATTTAAATTTCAATTTTGGATAGTGGATGGATTCTCAATGATGATGTGCATATAATAATTTTGCACCTAGTGTAACGTATTAGAATATTATCGCCTTTTTATCATAGCAAATATTATTTCATCTTAATTCACTTGCTTTGCTTTATTTACGGAATAACATTTAGCTCACTTTTCTTTGATGATTTAATGCTACTATGATGATGATGATGATGATGATGCTTAGTTTGTTTTAAATATAATATGTATGTATGTGTGTGTTGTTTGTTTTAGTAAAAATCAAATCGGTTGGTTGGTTGGTAGGTTGGCAGCCATTCAAAATGAATAAAACCAGATTCTCGCAGTCTATTCAATTAATTATGCTTATTTCGAAACTTTATTGCTCACGTATTTCGATACCGACTAATAGGATGATGATGTATGTTCATATGAACATATAAGAGAGTTAGATAATTATTTGAACGATCCTCGAAGCTTCTTTTTTACTCGCACATGTGGATGGACGGACGGACGGACGGAACGTGATTTAAATTTGATTAGCTAGTTGTAGTAGCAGTAGTTTGGCAAAATTAGTTCCGAATGTATACGGGAACAACTTAATTGGAAATGACGGTTGCCTCGCTCTAGATGTACAAAAAAAAACATATCTTACATTGAAAATACGTACGTTTACGTTATAAAACATTGTTATTTGTGCGTGAATGCGTGCGTTCGTGCGTGTTGTATTTAGTTTGATGCCGCTTTTACCCGAGAATTATAAATTTAGCGGTTGGTTTCGGAGGCGGCGGCGTTGTCGTCGTCGGATGGATGAGTCAATTTGCAAGATCGCGTTACCCGTTTTAATTGCCCGGCTCGGTCTGGCCCGAAAATAATACTTTTGTCCAAACAATTGAGAACGACGTCTATTCCATCGAGGTCGTTTCGTTTATTTTTTGTTTCCTTTTCCTTCTTCGCTTTTTGTTGGTCGGTCGGTCGGTCGGTCGGTATATCAAAGGGAAGGTGTGGAGGTGTGTAGATTTGAGAATAAACTTGGACGGGTCGACGATAGTTGACGATAGAAACGAAATTAGGATCAGCCCGAGGAATTTCGTGTTTTATTCGAATGAGGTGGAGAAGGAAGGAGGATGAGGAGGAGGAGGAGAGAGGTATTTTGAAACTTGTAGAATAATATTTACGATGGCGGTACACACGCATTCATTCAGCAGCAACAGCAGCAGCAGTCGTTGTCGGCAACTACAAAAGTTGGCAAAACGGCCTAAAAATGATTAAATGAGGAACAACATCAGAACCTTGAGGAGGAGATCTTACATCTTTTGTTTCGAGGACAAGAATAGTCAGAATCGGCGCAAGGTTGAAAATAAAAGAAAAGAGAAAAGAGATGGTCGAAACGGAAATCACCAACAAACAACAACAACAACATCAACGTCGAGTTGTCGTTTTTGTGGATGATGTTGTGTTGGCGATGGCACATATAGGAAAAAGATGTCCTGGCGGTGGCGGTGGACACACCTGTCACTTGCGACTGTGTGTGTGTGTGTGTGACTATTTATATTCGCGTAAAAATCTTAGTTAGCCCGTTTTGAAATTTATAAATATCGTGGCGCGGCGGCGCGCAGAAAATAAACCGAAACACACTATTTTAAACATTCAAGGCAATTAGCCGCGCTTCTCCGCTATATTATACACACACACACATACATAACTACTCGTACGTATGCGATATAGAGAGAAAGAAAGCAACAGTAAAGCATTAATTCATTTGTAATTGAATAGAGAGAATCTAACTCGATATTGTACCCGGCGCATCCACCGAAATAGTACTTTTTAAATCGGCATCATTGATGATGCTATTAAACGAGGCATGATGATTATTTGGTGATCTTTATTAACTCTGTCTCGGGATGTAGTAAATCTCGTTGTTGCTTAACATCGTGATGAGTAGAGTTGAGTTCCGCTCGTCTCTTTGCTATAGGTTTTCATTAAACACCTCGTAAAACATTTTCCTTCTTTCCTTTTTCTCCTTTGTACTCTGTGCTCTGTTCTAATTTTATTCTTTTCGACCATCGTAAACAACGTGTGTCTGTTGGTTGGTTGGTTGTCTGTCTGTCTGATGATGTTTGATGATGTTAGGCCTTTCCTTTGTGCTCGACGTTAATTTTGCAAAAGAGCCCCATTTTCACTGCCCCGGGCGGCCGTGTTTATTTATCCGCCACCGCCGCCGCCGCCGCCTTTGACGCACAGGACGACTTCGAAAAACACGCGCTCCGTCCGTCCGTCCATCTTAAACGAATTTCTAAACACCGTAAAATTTACACAAAGCGAGAACGAGGAGGAGAAGGAGGAGGAGGAGTAAGAAAAAGTACACGGATCGACGAAGCAGCACAGGTCGAACGAAAATAGTTTTATTCGAGAACGAGAGTTGGATTTGAATTTGCGATTGCGATTTTCGTTTGGATGAAGAAATGACGACGACGATGGTTTTTGTGCCCTCGCCCGCATTTATACGGTTTCATTCATCCTTTCATATCTATCTGTCCATCTTCCGTGCGTAATCCCTACTGATTACAATAAATCCATTTATCGGTGATTGGGAACGGCAGCATTTGAACTGTTGACACGCGCGTATTGTGCCAGGGCTAGCACCGGAAATCACGCTTTATTTAATGTCCGGCCACATTGTCTGTCACATTAAGGCATTAAGGGATCAATTTGGGGTTGGCCGCTATCTGGATATTTGCAGTATTCATTATCAACTCTCTATCTCTCTCTCCTTTATCTCTACGGTTGTTGTGTGCGTAGTCGTTAGATAATTGCAATTTTCGTTGGGATGGATGGTTGTGGATGGTGGTTAGTAGTTGTCGTGGATCGCTCTAATTTCGCATCGCATTGCTGTTGCGTTGGGGGAGGATTTCGGAGCGCGGTCGTAGAATTTACATTGCACCGCATATCCGATTCACACACAACACTATAAAACAAAACAACCTCATCTCTCTCTCTGCTTGTTGCCGTCCGTCCGTGTCCCTAGTGCACTCGTTACGCACGCAAATCTCATTTGCTTCAATCTGCAAAAGCCATCTATCCATCTCTGTCTTGCACATACATACACTACCAGTTAAGCAGAAATCTCATCCTAACAACATTATGCCATTGTGAACGACAACCATCTGTAGTACTTGTTGGTTATAATAAATTAACAAGAAAATACTAATCCAGATTGAAATTAATTTTCCTGAGTGCACCGCACTCTTTTTCTCTTTTTCATTATTTATCTATACATTGAATTGTATTTACTTTTACCTCTTTATCTCTCTCTCTTCCTCTTTGTATTTCAACCAATTGGTAAATGGAAATACCTCCAATTAGACTAATGGAATTTACATTATTGGTTTGTCTTTCGTACAACTTTTTAATGATTTCGTTAATTCTTATTGTTGTTTTGATCAATTTGAAAAGTGATAACAAACAAGAGATTCTTCCCGACATCTACTTTTCTTCGAGGTTTTGTCGGTTTTGCAAAAGTTAAGCAACACACGGTGGTAACAAGTCGTTCTCAGCGCTGCGATTAATGACCTGCTAGTCCTTTGAGACGGTTATGTGTGCTCTTGCTCTTGCAGTATAATAATAAATAATTATCGTCGTGGACCGTCGTAATTAATTTCGTAATTGCCGGAAATAAATTAAGCCCTAAATTCGGTTCCACGAACTCTCCCCAGGCGTTTCACCACCACCATCACCACCCTCCAATCGCCGGGGTCGTTAAGAGGGTTTGCATTAAATCTGCCAAATTGAAATCCAGAGTGCCTTATCTTTCCGTATTTCCGTACGTGCACATGCAATCAAAAGGTATAAAAGGCAGACGGCGAGCCAGACTCTTTCCTTTTTCCGGGGAAGCACGAACATACGATATTTGTATTTAATATATCCTCCTCCTCCTACTCCTCCTCCTCTTGGCCACCTCTCAAAATAGATGGTTTGTGCATATGGATGAATGTGTGTATGTATATGTGAATGTACGGACAGCAGAGGCCGTTTTACGCGGACGTACGCAAGCTCCCTTCACCGCCAAACATTTACATACATGACATTCTTGTAAAAAAAAAAAGAAAAGAAATGGAAAATAAAATTGGAGAGATTTGAAAATACGTTTTTGTGTTTTCATTGATGTGTATTTACAGATGAATTATAAGGGTGTGTATACTGGCTTTGTGTGTGTGTTGTAACAATGTTTTAAGTAATTTGTGTAAAGGTATTTTGCACATCCAGCACATCCAGGAAGAGGAGGAGGAGGAGGCTGTAATATGATTATCATCATCGTCCATCATCATCGGTTCGTTTGCGTGTGTGTATAACAGGAAAGTTTACGATTATGGAAGCTAATTAAAATTGAACGCACCCCACGGGGTTCCGAACACTACGCGCACGTGTTGTGTTTGTATATTTAGATTAATCATTGTATATATATACGTATTACACACACACACAAGCACACACACGAACGACACCCATTTTCCGGTGATAATTGCGATTGATATACATCCTCCACCTCCTTCTCTGTTCAACCAATTAAACCGCAAATAACGTCACCTTTCTTGGATTTTTCTGTTGTTGGTTAAAAAAAGAAGAAGAAGAAGAAAGCTAGAATGAATCATTAGTCAGAATCGAAAAGCGATTGAAAATTACTTTACATTATTTTTTTAAATTTTTTTTCATTACCATTCAGATGACGTGTAAGAAAATTCATACGTGTACGTGTGTG